GGGGGCCTATCCGTGGTAATGGCAGGGGATTTAGGGGACAGTTGGGATCCTGCCAGCCCATCCCAAGCAAAGGTCCACTGCCACCAGAAAGCACAGGCCTATGGCAATCACAGCTGCGGACATGGCAGTCTAAGCTGGAAAGGCTCTGGGGATGGTTGTGTGGCACAAAAACTATCCATTGGTTCAGTGCCAGCTGTACCACACTGGGCCAGCACCAGCCCAAGAAGTCCCAGGCAAAAAAACCCCACAACTCCGTGGCAAAACACGCCAACCTTTTACTGGCTGGTTTTGCTCATTCTGGGGGCCCAGAACAGGCCACAGCCCCAGGGGTCCTGGCCACCTCAGAGTGGTCGCCACCAGTTGACAGTGGTGATGGCAGCCAGTCACTTGCCCCAGCTCGTCCTGGGCCCTCACTGCTCTGCTGAACACCCAGCACCCAGGGGTTCCTGTCTCTCTTCCCATGCCTCAGTGGTGGCTGGAAGATGGGAATGCCTCCCCCTCCTCCAGCAGCAGCTTTTCTAGCTCCACCATCATGGTGCTTCCTTTATCTCCCCAAGGACACTTCCTTCAGCTTTCCCTGCCTCCCTCCAGGAGATAAGGCACTGCCACTGCCCTCCATGCACTGGGACATGCCACAGCGCAAGGTTTTGCTGACTTAGGCATAGCTGGCCCATCGTGGCTCTATGGGCTCTGTGAGCCTTGCTCCATTGCCTCACCAAAGGAAAGCACCCAACAGCACCAGCATTTAATACATGCAGTTAGTTCTGGGTAAAACAAATCCTGTTTTGGGCACCAAGGCCGCATCGGGGCAATGTTACCCACCCAGGAAGCTCAGCCTGCACTTCCCAATGCCACTGAGACATCTCGTGGCACCTGGACCAAGTATTTAAGCAAAGGGTTTCACTTGGGCATGTGTCCACCTGTATTTGGAAGCTCACAATAGGAACACATTTCCATGTGTCCTCATGGTGGGGACCATCCTGGAGTGTGTCTGTGTGTGTGTATGTCTGCATATCTTTCCAATACATAACCCCAGAAGATGCACTGCAGCCATCAAGATGACTGAAAGTATTAAACAGGCAAAAATCTGTCAGCATAGGAAAGAGACTAAGGCAGGTAAGGCAAAGTCTGCAAAATCCTGCACGGGGCAGGGGGTGGGTGGGCAGGAACCATGTCTCAGCTCTTCCACCGTGTCCCCAAAGCCAGGGGCATGGCATGAATTCAGCTGGCAGCGACTCCGAAGTGCGAAGAAAGATGACGGTTTTTCATATGGCACGGTATCAAACAGTGGATTACAGAGCATGGTGGCATCCAGGATGTGAACTTGCACTGATTAGATAAGGGCCAGCAAATACAGGGATAGGACTGCTGCCTGGGGAGCTCTGGAGCTACAGGCAGCCTGACTCAGGGAAGTTATACCAGGGAAGCATAAACCTGCCACTGTCAGAAACAAACACCTGAGTTAGAGGTACCCATTGCAGACTATTTCCTATTTTTGATAGTGGTTTTGTGCACGTGCAATTCAACAAACACGACTTGCTTTCTTCTAGGTGTACATATACATCTAGATACACATATACATGTTTTCTCCTTGATATTGCTGTCCCTACCGACAGAGCTGTCCCTTCCACAGGGGATCAGACCTGCCTGTACAACAGGAGATCTGGGAGCAGCCTCCCAGGAGCCACTTGGGTCTGCTTTGTCCCAGCACCAGGAAGCATTTCCCTCTCACGCAGCTGCTGCAGTGAAGCTGGGTGGTGAAACACCTTCACAGAGCATTAGTTCAATGGACTGTGCTGGAAACCAGCCAGAAGGTATGTATCCCATTGCTGTGTGCGCACAGCTCAGAGGACAGCTTTTGCCTCTGAAGCAGAAGCCTGGGCAGATTGCAGCTTGGGAGTTTGATGAGCCCCCTCAGCAGGCGGCTGCTTTAAGGACTCCTCATGCTGTCTCAAATGCAAGACCTGATTTTTGAAGCAACTGGGAGCTATGGAATGGTCCTGAGCAATTTAATCCTGGGTTTCAGTAGCGTACAATTCTTAGCTATGGGACTTTTTCTGTTTTTCTGTCTGGTTTCTAGCCTTATAAATTTCCTCCTGATGACGTGTTTGTGTGTCCCAACAGAGATCCATATGTTACTCAGGCATCAAGGTTTTCTGAGGCTGAACACAGCCCAGGTACTGCCCTGGTTTTAATTTGTGCCCGCTTCCAGCTTGTCGTCTCATTTCAGGGCTGACATGTTGGCATTCAGCTCGTCTCCAGCCTCTGGCAAGAGGAGAGGACATGGCCATGCTTCAGCTCATCCTATCACTGGGAGGGCTTTACATCTCCCAGGTTTGTTGGCCAAGTCAGCCCCTGAGAGCAGGGTCAGGGGTTCAGGGGGCTCACAAAAGAATTGCATTTGGGTGCCAGCCACCTGGATTGGGGTCCAGCTGCAGCTGCCTGGAACACGGGAGCACCCCCAGAACTGGCAGCTCGTGCTGAGCGGATCCAAAGGTCTCAGCCACCATTTGCTTCTCTGAAAGAAGCAACCTTACAGTGAGCCGGAGCTGCACCCTTGTTCTGCAGGACAGCAGTGCTTATCATCATTTATTAGCTCTAACTCCTTCGACTCATTCAGCTACAAGTTCCTAGTAGTCACACTAGCAACTGGCTCAGGTCCCACCTGCTTAATGCAGTCTCCTTCTGTCTGTGTAGAAAGACCCCAGGGCACCCCAACCCACTGGGAGGCAAAGGGATTCAATCCTAGGGTCTTTACCCATGGACATCAGCGGTCCCTGCAGAGATGCATTTCTTCTGCTGGAGAAGCCTGTAACACTCCTGACTTTGCTGTTAGATTAAATAGGTATGGCAGTGCTAAAACAGCACAAGTGAGGAGGCCAGGATAAGCTGCACTCCACTTTTCCAAGACAAAAGAAAACTACAGAAGCCTCTATCATCAGTAATAAGCAACAGAGCAAAGTCATCAGAACAATGCTACACACATACTTAAGCAGAGATGAAAACTTCTCAGTTATCGGTCAGTTATTCCCAGCAGCAGACCCTGACTTAGGATATTGTAATGCAAAGCAGCAGATGTCAAGGAAGTGGTAAAACACACTTGTGGGTGAAAAGTATGTGAAAGACCTAAAAAACCCCCACCCAGATGAAGTAGGGGATTTCTGTAGCAGCAGTGTGAGCCAGACAGCCTGGGCCAGGCATCACGCTCCAGGGCCAGGGCACTGGCAGTTCCCAGCCCTGCCCTGCAACCGAAACATAAGCTACTCAGACAATCCAAGCCTTGCAGCCTCACTGTCGCTGACCCAAAATGGGCTTCAAGAAAACTGAGTCCTTCCAGGAAAACTGCCTGAGAGCAGATTTGAGTCCCGGAAAAGTGAGGCACAAGGCAGATCTGTCACCCAAGTTTGTGCAAAGCTCCTGTCTCTTTCCTTTGTCTCCACTGGCTGATGCTCATTCCTCCTATGCCCTGTGGGATGGATGTATGGGGCTAAGGTGAGCTATATACATGTGTGTGTTGATCCTGTAGCCAATCCCTGACTGTAGGCTTAGGAGCAGCCTGGTCCCACAGCTGGGCAGTGCCTTGCCTTGGGCTGGACTCATCTCCCTCCCAAGTGAAAGGGGTGTTTTCCCCACTGGGCTTCTGCCCTAGGCAATGCCCTCATAGGCATGGCTTTAGGAACATAGGACTCTAGGCATTGTTAGGAACTAACTTCTGATCCCAAGGAGATGGGAATCCCAGAATCATCCCTCCCCATTTGGCTGGTCCCTTTGAAACAACAGCTCTTTTGGAAGTCATTGCTCTAACCAGTGCCAACCCTGGCTTTCTTGTTCTCCACTCTCATCTCCTTCATGCTGTCCCTGAATCACCTGTAAAGGAGAAACTGGGACAAGTAGAAGAACTGGGCATCAGCACAGAGCTCAGTGGCACAGACACGTACAGCAGGAGACAGGATCCTCTTGCACATCTCACCACATTCCTCACACCTGGCTCACAGTTATTTTAAGCTGCTTTTTCCACCTCACAGCTACATTTTGTGCTGCTGCTCCCAGAGATCAGACACGTCCCACAGGTCTCTTGGCAGGTCCTGCATTGGGATGCTGTGCTCCTGGGAACGGCACCTGGCCGCAGTGGTGTGGGGTGATGATGTACCCCTTCCCATCAGCTCTGCAGCCCAGCAAACCCCTGCCAGTGGAAGGCTCAGGCTCTTTCAGTTCTCAGCAAACAACCTGAAGGCAAAATCCTCCCTTGCTTGTCCCCTGCAGCATGGCTGGACAGCCCCCAGCTCCATCCTGCAGAGACCCCACAGGGAGGAGGGGGGCTGGGGGGACCAACCCCCCAGGACACGTTCACCCCAGGCACAGGCGCACAGAACGGGCTCCCTTGAGGGAACAGCTGGGCATACCCCAGCAGGAGTGATTTCTGTGCGTGTGCCAGCCTGACTCTGCCTCTCCACCTGCCCATTCTTGCCTGCTTCCTTCTGTGTTTCTGCTTCTCCTTGCCTGTGCATCTGCGTGTGCATCTGTGTGTGTCTCTCTGCACGTCTGCTTGTCTCTCTGTCCGTCTGGCTCTGAGCATGTCTATGTATGTGTCTCACTGTGAATGTGCTTGTCCCTTCCCGCGTGCCTGCGCGTCCGTCTGTCCCTTTGTGTGTGTGTGACCTTGTCCATCTTCCCGTGCCTGTTCGTGTGCTCTTTATGTGTCCGTCTGTCCGTCCATCCCCACACACGTACATCCATCCATCCATCCATCCATCCATCCATCCATCCATCCATCCATCCGCCCCTCCCGCCGCCACAGCCCTTCAGCACCTCGGAGCACGGACAGCTCCCGCCGTCTCCTACCGCGGCGGCCCCGCGCACCGCACCGCGCACCGAGCATCGTACCGCAACATCCCCCCACCGGAGCGCCCCGCCCCGCGCCCCTCTCCGCACCGCATCCCGCCCCGCCCCGCCCCGCCGTACTTAAGCACCGCCGCAGCCGCCGGTCCTGCTCCGCCGCCATGAGCTACAGCGCGGAGCCGGCGGCTCTGGCCGCCTCCTACCGCCACCTCTTCGCTGAGGCCCCGCGGCGCTCCGAAGGGGCTGCGGGCCTGCGGCCGCGCCTGGGCGCGGAGCCGGGGCCGGGCCGGGAGCGCAGCGCTGAGCCGCGTCTGGTGCGGGATAGCGAAAAGGCGCAGCTTCAGGGCCTGAACGAGCGCTTCGCCGGCTACATCGAGCGGGTGCGGGCGCTGGAGGAGCGGAACCGGGCGCTGGCGGCGGAGCTGGCGGCGCTGCGGCAGCGGTCTGAGGAGCCGCGCCGCCTGGGCCAGCTGCTGGGCGGGGAGCTGCGCGCCCTGCGCGCCCGGCTGGAGGAGGCGCACGGTGAGCGGGCGCAGGCGGCGCTGGAGCGGGCGCGCCTGGCCGAGGAGACGCAGAGGCTGCGGGCGCGCTGCGAGGAGGAGGCGCGGGGCCGCGCCGAGGCGGAGCAGGCGCTGCGCTCCCGGCAGCAGGCGGCCGAGGGGGCTACCCGCGCTCGCAACGACCTGGAGCGGCGTGCGGCGGCGCTGCGGGAGGAGCTGGCGGCGCTGCGCAGCGCACACGCCGAGCAGCTGGCGCAGCTCGGGGCCGCGCTCCGCGCCGCCTCGCAACCAGCACCGGCCCCCTCGGTGCGGCCCGACCTGGCTGCGGCGCTGCGGGAGCTGCGCGCCCAGTACGAGGCGCTGGCGGCCCGCAACCTGCAGGCGGCCGAGGACTGGTACCGCACCCGCTGCGCCCGCCTCCACGAGCGCGCGGCCCGCAGCCAGGAGGCCGTGCGTGCCAGCCGCCGGGAGGCCGGCGAGTGCCGCCGTCAGCTCCAGGCTCGCCTGGCCGAGATGGAGAGCCTGCGCGGCGCCCACCAGTCCCTGGAGAGGCAGCTGCAGGAGCTGGAGGAGCGGCACAGCGCCGAGGCCGCCGGCCTGCAGGTGAGCCTGGCTGCGCCGGGATCCGACACCTTTCCTTCCCCGCGTAGGGTCCCCGGGCAAGCTCCGCCCCGGTGCTCGGTACTGTGCTGCACTGGGCACCCCCTTCCCGTGCAACCTGCCCCAGTGGTCAGCACCTCCATCCCAGTAAACTCCCCTAGCGCTGTGCAGCACCGAGCACCCAGCGTTCCCCCTGCTCTGGTCCTGTTCAGCGCTGAGCATCTTCACTGCAAGCACACTCTGCAGCAGCCCCTCCCGCAGGGCTGGGCACTCCGGCCCCATGCAGTGTCCCCCCCGCACCGTGCAGCGACCAGAGCCTCTCTATCCCGTGCTGTGCTGTATGCACACAACACCGCTCTCCCCCCCAATGCAGGAGCAGTGCGCCTGCAGCACTGCAGCTTGCCCCCCACCCTGGCATACGGCCTCTGCCCTGGACGACTAATCCAGCCTCACCAGGGCATTGCCGCCACCCTTTACCCATAGGCAGAATCCCAGAAAGCAGGTTTGGGGGGCATACGCAGGGCCAGGACACTCCTTCCACCACCCCCTTTGCACAGGGGACATCCCCGCACATGGCAGTGCTGTTTGGGGCATCGCCCCATCCCTGCCCTCTCCCCTGAGGGTCATCTCCAAAACTGCCCGCACATTTCCTGTTGCTGTGAGTAGTTCCTCGAAGGTGTCTGCCCAGGCTTGGCCCCTCGCCCTGTGCCTGTCTCTTGGCACCTGCACTGCAGAAACTGGAGCTCTGCAAACGGTCAGGCTGGATCTGCAGCCAGATCCCAGCACCTCTTATGTCTGCCTGCCACTCACAAGGGGCAGACATGGAGCACTCCACATCTCTTATTCCACTGCTGCAGTATTACATTTTCTTGCTACAGGGAAATGTTCATGATTTATAATAAAATAAATTACATGGCTATTATGCCATTACATGGCTATTAAATGATCTGTGCTTTCTAAATCAAGTCATTTCCTTCTAAATACCAAACCCCCCCCACCTTACATCATACCTGAAAGACGTTATTTCACACCCGAGTAATGCCTTGTCATTTTCAAGGCCAGATTTTGCTGGCCTCTCTAGAACTCATGACAGTAGTTCCAAGCTGCTTGCAAAAGTCCTGAATAGTTGAGGTCTTCTTCAGCAAATATTGTGAAAATAGGGAGTATCTATTTCCTGTCGTGGATGAAAGGATTACGCACAGTAATCGTCTTAAATAGTCTTGATGCCATATGAAAAGGGATTTCAGGAACAACCTATGGATTGAGGGGGAATAAAAAATGCAACTGAATTAAATGGCATCATAATTGAAATTGTTTTAGTGATAGCACAGCAGTGTTTTCCCACATGACCCTCAGCAACTGCTTTAAGTGTGGCAATATATAGGAGCCTTTTAAGCAGTGTGCATGTGTAGCAGCACATAATGGCTGCAACCAGTGGAAATGGATGGAATACTCTTAAAAGAGAACATTCCTATTGTTTGAGCTTTTGAAATGTTCCTATAGTCTGCTAAATCAGGGGCATGTCTTGATATCTGTAGGCTATCCAGTCAAATCTGGAGCAACATATGAGAGTTTTCCATTAGGGGACAGGTTTGCAGTGGTGTGGGGAGGGGTTATTCTACCAGCTGGTAAAGCTGGGGTGTGGAAGATAGGTACATGCAGGGTACCAAGGATAACCCATTTTTAAAGAGCATTTTGTCCATGCGAACTGCAGCATTGGGAAGGGGGCTGAGGGCACAGAGGGTCAGAGAGCAAGAGTGGGGCTGTCCAACGATCGGGTCACCCCGAGTCCCTCCCTTCTGTCATGGCTCGGTGCAACCGCAGTCTGGCTGCATTGGAGCAGAGATTTTAATCTGCACTGCAGCAGAAGCCGTGCATGTCCTGGGTGTAGCCATGCATGTTCTTTTCAGGTGATGCCCCAATGGTCTCCTTGAACTGCTCAGTCCTTCCTCAGAGGCACAGCTCCATGCAGCCCCATGGTCAGCCAGCACTGCTCGAGGCAGAGACCCCAAGGATGGCTGCTAAATGTCTGACAGGGCAGGATGTATCCAGCTAACTTGACTGAGGTGTCCATGCCACATTCAGGATGAGCTGCCACTGCTTCTCTGGGGCCCAGATGAGGCTTGCTGCACCAGGCTCAGCATAGCTCCCTGCTCCTTGGGCAGCTTCACTGTCATGGCTGTCTCTGGACTGAGCACAAGGAAGGTTATGCAGGACACAAAGGAGGGGACAGGATGGGAATGACAGGGACAAGATGGGGATAAGGACAGTGACAGGATGAGGATATGGAAAGGATGGGGACGAGGACAGGGCCAGGATGGACATGATGTGGCAGGACAAAGCTTGTTCACTGGGACAGAGAAGCTGGAAGCTCCAAGGCCTGGCTGTGGGAGGGGGTGTGGGAGAGCAGATGTTGGCAGTGGCCATTGCAGGGCTTTGCAGACAGGGCTGCAAACTGCTTACTCATTCCTGCTCCAAATCACGCTCCTCCAGTGGCACAGTGGGGTGGCTGGCAGTGGGAAATCATCTGATTGAGAAGATCCCTATAGGAACAGGTTTCGCTGCTTTTACGCTGCTGCTTAGATACCTGTGGGAGAGAACCAGGTTGCTTGTTTTCTGACCAAAAATAGAACAAAAAGATTAGTCCCCTTTGTTAGCAGGAGATCTGGCTTTGGACTTATGCACATCACAGGTAGAACAGGATGTAGCAGCTATGGCACGGCAAAGCTGATGGAAAGGACACTGGAAGGACGTTGTCCAGCTGAGCTCTTGCAGAGCAGGCTTCTGACTCTGGAGCCCCCCATATCCCTGCATCTGGAGCCCCCCACCCTGGGGCTCTGAGGCATCTTCCTGGGAAGGTGTCAGACTACCCATCCTGGAACCAGCTCTTCCCTCCTGCCCTGGCAGCACTATCTCTCCTTCCACCACCTGAACACATCCCAGCCTTTCCTAAACACCCCCAAAACATGCTGCAGCCCTTTTCCTGGCAACCTCTCAACCCGTGGGCTGATGCAGTGCTGGGTGCTCCCATGTGTCCTGCTTTGATGATGCTTAAGCCCAAAACTTCTTATCCCTCCCCAGCAGTTCTTCCCTTCCCTCCATAGCAGCCTGCCTCATCCCCTGCAGGATTGGGGGCTCCACCACCCTGTGCTATTTGCTGCCTCCGTCTCAAAGCCCGTGCTGCAGATGGGAAACTGCTTAAATCCATCAATGTTTAAAGCCTTCCCCCGCAGCACATACTCACAAGCCATGCCCAGTGCATTGCCCGCTACTCCATCTCTGTTAGCATGAAATTTCATGGCCTGAAGGTCCTACTGGGATGTGCCATCATGGACCAACCATCATGGAAGCTTCCCTGTCTCTGCAATGGGCAGAGCAGACAACCTGTGGGAGAGGTCCCTGCTCCAAAACACAGCCCTGAATGCTAACCCTAACCCTAACCCTTTGCAGGACACCATTGGGCAGCTGGAGGATGACCTGCGAAACACCAAAAATGAGATGGCTCGGCACTTGAGGGAGTACCAAGACCTGCTTAACGTCAAGATGGCCCTGGATATTGAGATAGCTGCCTACAGGTAAGGCTGCTCTGCCCCTGCTCTGCCTGGCAACCTCCCAATCCCCTGACCCCACCAGGCTGGGGTATTTTCAAGGACCCAGTAAAGTACCTGGGAACACACTCAAGAAGGTACACCATTGTATTGCTCATCTTCCCTGCCTGGGGAGCAGCCACAGCTCTATGGCATGCCTCGATCTAGCAGACATGAACCATGTCCGTCGTCATCCCACAAGCAGCTGCTTTTAATGGGTTGGAGATTTCTCTCTCTTGCAAAGTCAAAGTAGATGCAAAGGCAGAGTCCCTCTGGTTTGTGGTTTTATTTTCCTGGCATTTCTGGATGGAGAGGAGGGGACTGGTCCCATGTACCCCATATTGCCAGTGCTCCAAAAATTATTCACCAGAGCATATTATTTTGAACCAGTTCCATGGCACAGCATGACCCAAGCCAGTGTCCACTGCAGGCTGGCGTGATGGCCTGGAGTGCTTGGACTTCCTCGCAGGTCACAGCATGCCCCCAGCCTTTGCAGATATTTCATGTAAGATATCCTAAGACTAACCTCTTCCCTTATGATGTGCTTGCAGGAAGCTGCTGGAGGGAGAGGAGAATCTCTTCAGCATGGGAAGCGTCGGCCTTTCGGAGCTCAATCCTCTCCCCAATCCCACTTACTCCTTCCAGCCAAGAGGCTTTAGCTCCTCTACTCTGTCCTTCATGGAGGACAAACAAGGAGAGGTTATTAAAGTGACCTCTAAAGTATCATCCAGCAGGGCTGCGATGATTGAGAGGACCATAACCTCTGCCAAGAAAAGAGGGAGATTAAACCTGCATGAAGGAATCATTGCAAATGCAAAGATGTAACTGTAAGGACCCCGTCCGTTTTGCATTTGAGGGGGAACAGTCTCCACTTGGCCTTTAAATTTCCTCTCTGGGCACAAAGCTGTGCTGGGCTCGCAGGAATCCTCCTGGTGTTCCCTGGACACTGACCTGGGGCTGGCTTCCTTGTGAGTCCTGCCATGCAGAGGCCGAGCTTGGCACACTGCTCCCTTTTAAATGGGGCGGAGGCACGGGCAGGTAGCTAGATGCATGTTGGTCGTTGTTGTGGTGGCACAGTGGACTCGTAGCGGCACAGTGGACTTGCAGCACCCACCATCTCCCCGTCTCTCTCTCCCTCCTCCCATGGCATGCGAGAGGGAGCCAGCTCTCTGGGAAGGGGGAGGCAAGGGAAACAACATGTTTACTGTAACTAGTTTCAAGGCTACAGCCCTTCATCTACTATCCAAACCCACGTATACCTGAACTCTTCCCCATTCCTCAAGCCACAGCCGTCCACTTTTAATCCCAGAAGCACAGAGATAGCTGTACCGGACTGTAACCACACCTGACACCTGGTCTATGAGCCACTTACGTTTTCAACTATAAGGAATGTTCATTTTATTTCATCCTGACAACTCCGTCTGGTTTTGGGCAGTGTTAGTGCAGGCAGGCATGTGGGGTTTGCTAGCAGCAGGCACAGAGCAGGGATGAGATGAGGGTACCACAGTGGTGCAGAGAGCAGCACCTTATGTGGTGTCATTGGCTCTGAAATGTCGGGGTCCACAGAGCCCCTTCTTTGGCTGCACAGTTGGCAGATGAAACCCCTGTGCTCCCATGAGCACTGTGCCCCAGCCAGTGCTGGGAAGCTGCAGGACTCCTAAGCACCAGCCCACAAAGCATCCTTGCCTCTGCTCTAACTGTTCCAGTGTGCCAAATTTGATGTAGGATTTACAACCATAGGTTTCCTTCAATGCCTTAAAATTTGCCAACGATCGCTTTTGCAAGAGCCGGAGACTCTGCGTGTATTGCGTGCCAGTGCCCTGGCAAGGTCACCATCACGACGTGGTGGTGCCAGAGTCGGTTCTGGAACCAGCAAACTGTTTGCTCGCACTCTTTCCTCTTCTGTTGTAAGGCACAAGATAATAATTAAAAAGAAAGAAATAGTTATGTGGATCAAACCGAGCCGTTTTGTTTTCTTTGCTGCTGCTTTGCCTCGGGAACATACTTTGGTGCCTGGCCCGCAGCTGGTTCAGTCTCCAGCAGCCCCTTTAGGCCCCCACAAAGAGCTGGGTGTGGGGGTGCAGGGCAAGGCTGGTCCCACCTATGGCAGTGGGGCCTGTCAGGCACCCAGAGGTGCCTGTTGCAGTAACCCTTCATTGCAGACAGTTCATGGGTGGCTGGCTGAGGGAACAAGGTGTCCCATGGCGAGTCCACCCTCACTTCCCCCAAAAATCGACTCTGAGGGTTTCATTTCATCACCCCCCTGACTGTTGTGTCCCAAGGTACCTGCCATTTCTCTGCTCTGCCTGTAGGGGTTAAAAACAGCGCCTTTGCCTTCACAAGTAAAGACAAAGTGATTTACACAACAGCGGATGGAAGAAGTGAGGGTGAGGGTGCACCCACCCCCCAGTAAACACAGCAGCCAAAGGTGCCCACGGAGCTGGTGTGACCAGTGCTGGCTTGTATTTGGATGATACCCATACTCTGCCTGCGATTTACGTGTAAAGGAGCACACGAAGGGCAATAGGAAGAGCAGGGGTGTTGTCCTATTGCCTTCCCATTCCTACCTTGTCACACCACGTCACAGCAATCTGCCCCAGGCTCATGGCCTGATGGTCACTGGCTTTTCCACTACTGCTGCAGGCCAGGAGCCACTTCCCTTGACCCTGTCACACTGATAACCTCGGGGACGATGCCCCGGTGAGGTCACTCACAGGAGGGTGACACAGCCCCTGGCAGAGCAGCCCTGTAAAGCAAGGGGCACCTTTCAGAGGCAGGGAAGGGGGCTCAGGGCATGGCTGGGGCAGCACATCCCACCAGCAGCCTCCAGCAGAACAGCACAGAGCAACCCATGGCACCCAGGCAAAGCTTGGAGGGGGCAGGACCTGCAGAGTTAAGTCCAGGGCACTGGTACATAAAGCAAGGACCAACCAACCTCCAAATACCTCCTGGCTCAGCTGTGAGGTAGGAAATGCAAACACATAGCATTTCTCTCACAACACAGGGGAAATAAAAGGCAGATGTGACTGCAGAGCTAATGTAATCTATTCTGAACCTCAAATACCCTCCAGTGCTGCTTTGTTTCTGTCCTTTGAGTATAAGCAGCCTGACCTGCCCTTTATACACGCAGCACAAGCCTCTGTAAGCATTCCTGCTTGCTCAGCTGGCTGGATGCTAGCAATGAAGTTGGGAATTTTACTTTAGTGAAACACACAGTCATGGAGGAGAGCAAAGGAGCTGCAGGAAGGACAAAGCACTGCTTTGGAGAACAGCTGCTTTGCAAGGGCCAGCTTGAGATTTCCTGTGTTTCTGGAGCTCTGCAGCATTTTGATGCTGTCTCATGGTGCTAAGCTTCAGAAGTGTTAGAGGGGCAGCAGGCAGGGAGAGGATGTGGGCATTTAGGGCCAAGGACCAGGCTGGATTTTGGATTACCTTCTGGCTTTGACAGCCCCTCTGCTGGGCTCTGTTCCTGTGATCTTACAGGATCTGAGGTGCCAAGATTTAACTAACCTGACAGAAGCAAGTAACTAACCCATCCCACAAATGCCCTCCCAGGGCAGGGTGAGAAGAGCCCTAGCAGGATAGGGACACACTGCTTTCCTGAAGGACGCAGCCCAAACAAAGATGCTGTGCAGCAAAAGAAAAGCTCCCAGGGAGGCAGGGCTGCCCCCAGCTCCACAGCAGCCTCTCAGCTACCTGTGTCCAGCCTCTGACTGTAATGCCTGTGCTGTGGGAACCCGGCATCCCAATGCAGATGCAGCCCCTTCTTGAGACAGACATTTCCTGGGCCTCAGCCCGTTTTGGTTGCAGGATGGGAAAAGGGACTGCATAATGTTCACTTGAGGCATGCTGAGCTGCAGCTGCCCAATTCCTGTTGGGTGGGAAGACTGAGCTCCTCACTGGAGACGTGGTGATGTGTGGCCCCTTCTTACCCTAAGGGAGGCCTATGCCCACACTCTCCTCATCTTTAGGAGAACAATGAATACAGGAGGACAAGTCCAGCTCAGTGTGCTGCCAACACTGACCTCCAGCTGTCTCCATCCAGACTTCCTTTTCTATTGCTGTCTTCTCCATGTGACTCCTTTCACCTGCCTGCTTACACAGACCACAAGGCTCCTGAAGTACTAAGTAAAAAAGCACTAATCCCTCCTTTGTGGTCCCATTTTTCTTACTGGGTTAATCACCAAGGTTGCCAGGGGAATGCAGTGAGTCAGACTGCAGCTGGTTAAAGATTTATATCTCTGCAGAACCTTGACCCCTGGTATAAAAGGCAGCTGTGAACACAGGCTACACTATGACCTCAGGAAGAAGCAGAGAGTGGCACTGGAATGGGTTGCCCAGGGAAGTTGTGAATGCTCCATCCCTGGTGGTGTTCAAGGCCAGGTTGGACAGTACCTTGGGTGACATGGTTTAAGTGTGAGGTGTCCCTGCCCATGGCAGGGGGGTTGGAACTGGATGATCTTCAGGTCCTTTCCAACCCAAACTATTTGATGACTTTATGATGTCTCCAGGATGTGCTGTCTTCACCTTATGCTGGGGAGAATTCCAGCCTCCATCCAGGGTGCAAACTCCCACCACAGGGCTGGCTGGCTGTATTTTTCTCCCTGCATGAAGATCCTGGCTCATGCACATGCTGCTGTACTGTGGGGCTGCCTGGCTCTCCTGGTTTTGTTGTCACAGTGGTGAAGTGGGACAGTCTGTGCAGACAGGCACATTGCCTAGGGCAGGCCTATGTCATGGTTCCCCTGATGAAAAAGCCTTATTCCCATTGTGATCCTGCAACCAAGGGTCCTTCAGCTCTGCTTGAGGTTCCTGCAACAACTGTGCTGAGATATACAGCTCCTTAAAAACCAGAGAATCGCTGCACACAGAGAAGTTTTGCTAATGACCCTTGTTCAGATGCTGGAAGTCATTACAGAGTAAGCCAAATGAAAAACAGCCAAAGGAAAAAAACCAACCATTTTTCCAGTGGCAGGAATGCAAACATTCCCTTTTCCAGACTGAGGAAGGGCCCTGTCATCAGCCAGAAGGAATCAATAGGCAATTCAGAGTAAAGTCTCTTCCAAGTACCTTTGGCTGCATTCATCCAGCTCACTCCTTGCCAGCTCTTAGCACAGAGACCTCCGCAGGGAGAAGAGCTTCTTCCCCAGTAAGTGACCACACAGAGCCCTGAACACCAGCAGCCACATAAATATGCCTGGATGAATGTCCACATCAGTGGGGTCCAACACTTTAGAGCAAACTTTTTAATATCAAAACAGCATGAGCAATCTCAGCTCATTCATGCAAGTCTTCACAGGCGTATGGCACTAAGGGTCACTTGGCAAATGCTGTGTAACATGCAAAGAGGGCACTGCTTGGTATAGAGTGAGAGAACACTCATCGACCCTGTTTTGTCCCAGCAAATTCCAGCTGAGCCAGAAGGGTTGCAGAGCTAGGGTCGGCATTATGGATGGGAACACAGGGATGCACTCCTAAGGCTTGTGCAGGGGCCTTCACTGAGACCCAGTGAAACCAGAGGGGAACCCACAGCTCTGCGACAAACAATTATATCCCTGGTGAAACAGGATGTACTGCAAAGACATTCTGCTGCACAGAACTGATCCCTCTGGTGGTGCTCAGATGTGTCTGCTGTAACATGAAGATGGAACAATGTTCATACTAAACACAGACACACCTACTTGGAAGGGAAACATCCAGATATTCCAGGCTGCAATTCCAGAGCCCCAGGCACACATCCACTTGCTGACTGTAAACGGGAGCAAAGCTCTTGGGGTGCTGTGAACATCAGTTCTGAAACAACAGAGGCACCAGAGTCGTTTGCCATTGCAGCAAGGGAAGCTCAGTTCCTTTGCCTTTGAATAGAGAGAGCTGCTGGTTGCCAGCATCCCAGAGAGTACAAGATACTCAAGCTCCTGGGTCCCTATGCCCAGAGCAGCCTTGCAAATGCTCCAACACACACGTAGTCATTCTCGGAGACGGTATACATGCACCAACCAAGTGTGGACTGCAAGAACAAGCTGCCTGGAGATGTCACTTGGAAAAGCTAAGGTCAGACTGAAAAACACAGCTTGCACTGAAGCTTAGAACATCATTAAGTTTAGTTAATTTTCAACTGAAATGCAAAACACCCCTCCAAGCCCTAGACGAAAGGCAGCTCATTAGCAAATTCCTAGTCTAGCAAAGTGGCCCAAGAGCTGTATGAGTAAGAATGCCTGGCAATGCTTGAAGCAATCAAAAATGTTTCAGCAAGCCAAAATATTCAGGCTAGATTATTAAGAAAGTAAGGATTATAGGAGCATACTGTGACTAAATGTCCCCTTTCCCTCCTAAATCCTTCCCTGGTCATACCCATCAGCTTAACTTCAGCCATATGTGAGAGAGCTGAAGGTCTCAAAGATACCAAACTTCTCCAAGTTTTGTGGGAGCAGGTGCTTAGGTGAAATACACTCATGGATTGAAAATCTGGCACATTCAGAGGGCAGAGGTTATGAATGGCTCCGCATTGAGGCAAGCTTCATTGGGAACTCATTTGCAACAAAAAGACAAAGGTGTAAAAGCAAAAAAACCCCAAACACCACCAAAAAAATCCAGAAGGCCCCAGGCTAAAATAAGCTTTATTTTTTTTTTAAATTTATTTCTTTTTTTTTAACTGTTCACCAACTACTTGTTTCTTAAAACCAGCTGAATCCTTTTGGTTGAACTTCTCCATAGGTAACTAACCCAATCCACTTGCAGATGGAACAACCTGCAACATAACAAATTCTGCCCAGATGTCTATCACTTGGCAAAAGTAAAGAAGAAGCAAAGTCTTCAAAGAAACACACTTGGTCACTTTGGTAACAGGTACCAATACCAGCCCTGTTGTACCTGAGTTTGTGATGGGGATCTCAGTAGCGGTTTGTTAATTGCCTGCCCTCACGTACCCAGCACTAGTGTGGAGTTCACACACACTGCACTTGTGTGTGTAAACATAAATAACAGGAATTATTGCTAAATGGAAGAATTTGGCTCACAGTCATACAGCAAGCCAAGGACAGAGGGAAGTGGAAACGGGAATGCAGGCGCCCCTGTGTTCAGCTTACCTGCTCACAGGGAGGAAGACCACCACCACTCCTGTCCTGTGTGCTGTGGCACACAATCTGCTATTTTATTGTCACCAGTAGGTGAAATGTTTTTCCCATGTCTGTAAGGAAGAAAAAGGAGATTGCAGGTTCTTGTGAAGGGTGTTGGGCTTCTCACAATGAGTTCTTACCTTTCGGTCCCAGGTATATGCAAGGACACATTGGTCCACCATTTAACAGTACCGCTTGTCACCACAAGCTACACAAAGGCATGCTGCCAGCAGCGTGTGCTGAGCACACCCTGAGCACAGCCTTGGAACAACTGATTGCCTCCCAGCACCACATTAAAAGCAGCTCTCCTAGGAACATGCTATTTTTCTCTACCTTTGTCAAGTCCCCATCACCCACTCTTTTAATGTTAAAATGTCTATTTTTCTTCCAAGGAAAACATTAAGATTTCATTTCCAAATAGACTATTTTACTATTAGAAAATGCAAGCTCTCTTTTCCAATTCGGGAAGTATTTCTTTTGCAGATCGCTGCTGCTTTGACACAAATATATTGTTATTACACTAAACCAAAACCAAGTGAAGATGGTGATGCAGCTCCAGCAGAATTTTGCAGCTGCAGGGCAGCCAATCAATATTGCATTTTGCCTCAAATGGGATTACCATTCATCTCAAGGAACAATAAAATTTGACCTGTTTATTGATTGAACCTGTATCTATGGCAACCGGCTGAAACCTCAGCAAACGTAAATATCCACTGGCTCATTCAACAAGGGTCTCTTAAAGATGACATGAGTAAAATTCAATTTCTGATTATGTTGCCTCCTCTCTTTGTGCTGAACTAGGGAGGGCTACAGAAAAATAAAGAAGTAGGAAAAGCACCACAAATAAAAAGCAAAAGTGATAAGAACATGCCATTTACAACATTCCCTCCATCTCTGAGCAAGTATCTGTCACAGCAGAACGAGTATATTTTAAAGTACCTAAACATTCAGGCTGGCACCCTATTGAGCATGCAGTGTATTATAAGATTCATGTGGACAATTCAACCATCTCCCTATAAAAGAAAGAGCTGTAACACATAAAATCTCCTATGCCTCCATTCATAGGCTCTCCCTCAACTACTGGAATAAACACCCCTTCCCCTGATTTGTATGGAACACAGATTTTGTATTGATGATACTCCAACACTGAAGAAAAATGAACACAGACATGCCAAGGGTATAATTTCACTAAGGACTGTTGAAGTGCATTAACATAAATCACAGCACATAAATGCCTGATGATTCCCTGAAAGAAATTCAGCACAGGCTAGTATAACACCAGCTTGAATGATTTATCAGTAAAACTCACTGGCTGCTTCACATCATGGAGATAAGCATTAACGTTCCTCCTGGCTCATGTGTGCCACAGTCTGGTGACAATGCAGATTGAGGCTGGGTGCATTACTGGTGTTCAGAACATAATTGATAGTTACACACTGACATCGCAGTGCTTGTCCATTTAAAGGGCTCAGCTGCACATTTCACTAGTCTCTTGAACCTTATCTTCCTATTACACTAAATCTATATTGGACACAAAGAAAACAGGCAGAACATAACCAACATGACTCCATGTTTGTGACTTGACTGTAGCTTGATTCTACATTTGTAAGAACTCCTGACACTAGGGCTCACCATCTCCTCTTGCTGGGAATTAGAGGATCTGTAAAGCAATTCAGAATTATGCTGCAGTACAAGTAATATTTAATTAGGATCTGTGTTAGCCATGAAGTTGCTAAGTAGGTAACCAGAAAATAAACCCAGAATTATTTTGTCAGGTGAACAAACAATAGTGTCTATAAAGTAATGAATGAGTCTAAGCACCTTCCCTAACTTCCAGAGCATGAAGCTGGCTCATCTCCCATGAGGGCAGAAATACCATCCCATAGACGGCCTGTTGTTACAGAAGCTCTTCTATCATCAGGACCAAAAGTGATTGGAGGAAAGCCAAGGTTAAAAGGAGACCAACAGAAATAAAACAGCAGCAGGAGGGCTGAAAGAAGATTGGCACATTTTAAAGCAAGCAGACTGATTATGCAGGAAACCACACAGCCCACAGATCAGCCTTGGCAATAACTAAAGGTCACCCCCACTGCATGCTGATGTGCCCTAGGGGTATTGCAGGGTTGGAGAGCAGATAAAACATCAGTGCCTTCAAGATATGTGTTAAAGTGAAAGAAAGCAAGATGTTCAGCCAGGAAGAGTAAGCTAAGAATATGCTTTCTGAAGGCAGGTGAGGAAGAAATAGAGATGGAAGCAGACAAATGGGAAATAAGAGATCACTAAGCATTCATATTAAAATATCACAGGCAACAGACTTTCAATCCTCCTCATTAAGCCACTGAAAGAACGAAGCAGGAAGCCTGGGCCTTCTGCATTTTAGCTGGTATGTCATTTACCCTACAGAAAACCTCTCTTTAAACATATGCAGAAGCCTTTTCTTCCCCTTGTAAACATAAACTGACACTGACATCAGAGCCAGTGGCCGCACAATCACCTTGAAGGTATGCGAGTCAGCAGTATCCTAGAATGACATTCATTTGACTTAACTATCAGATTCTATGTAACTGTTAAGCTTGACGAATGAGCCCTTATGTAGACATGAAGCTCAAACCTGGATTAGGAAAGAATTTGCAATGAAAAATGTGGCTATACTGCTAACTTTTTAAGCACAGAGCTATATACACAAAACAAACCTATGAGTGGTAGCGAAACAGGAAGTGATAATACAAAGCATATGAACCCAGTGCCTTGCATAAAGCACGAACCAGAGCAGCAGAGAAAGATCCGGTTCATGAGGGACTCAATAGCAACAGCCATAAACATGAATGAAAATAATCTAGAGGTAGCTCTGACATAAAGATGTATGTATTGATGAAAATAGGGGTCCTTTAACTGCGCAGGGTTATTTCTCCTGTATCTGTTGAAAAAATCATCTTGACATCTTTACTGAGTTATTTCTCACTGAAATCCTCATTAAAAGGAAAGTCGCAGAAATTCCACGTTACTCCAGCTGAGGATACCACACAGTTAGCTCCAGCGAAGATCCTGGTATGAAACTACCCTTCATCACTGAACCTCCTAATTTAAATTTATGATTCTATATAACCTCAGAGCACACTCAGCAGTTTCAACATCAACTGCTCTAATTCTAAGCCTCACACAGGGAGCATGCCATGGAAACACAGGACCTCAACTTTAAGTTGGCTAAAATAAAGTTTATTTTACTGTTACAATATATAATCTCTTATCAACACAACTCACAAAGTGTTTACAAAATAATCTCATTTTTTGCTGCATTTTAAACACTACTTTTATACAAACTTCAAAGGTAAAATAGGAATTTGTAGCTACAAATGTTTTTGTTATTTTAGAAGCATTACAATAATTACTTCAAATAAGACTTTTTTTCTTATGGTGTCACCTTCTCAGATGATACAGAACATTTATTGTAAAGACCTGAGGAAGGATTCATGAAAGTCTTCTTTAGGCAAAGGATGCCAGTCCTCTTAGGCTGGCAACAAGCAAGTGCATCAGCTAACCTGGGTGCTCCAAAATGCCTTACAAAGGAATCTCCCCCCTCTCCCAGATTTGACTATAGGGAGGGGGTCTGGTGCATAATGGCAGCTTTCATGAATCCCCACACTGATGACCTAGTATGCAGCAAGACTGTTAAGACACAAAACACCGGTCCTTAATGCTGTGCAAGAAACCATGGAAACAGAAAAAATAATAATAATTATTACAGTTGCCACAAAATCTAGTATGTTAAATATGTTAAAATTAAAGTTCCTTAATGTCCTCTGTGACCCTGGCAGTAACAAGCTAGTATTATATTACTCAACCCTGGTCTCCACTACAACACACTAAAACACATTAAAAAGAGTGTAAAAAACTACCATCTCCATGGCAGCTAGAAAGCTATGTGCTAAAGGATTTATGCTCCTGCTACTCAAGTCAGCTGATGGATCTTACATGACAGCAGAATGAGGCTGACAGTGATTATTTTACATACAGCAAGCAGGTAGAAAGAGGTGCTACCTTTTTAATTTTCATGCATAGTTTAACCAGCTCACAGCCGGCTCATCTCCATTAAGACTAGAGATGCATGATCCACCATTTGGTATAAGCCAAACTACCTATATTTCCAGTGCAAACGAAATTGTTTTTCTTCAGAAAAACAATTAAATTTAATGCTACTTCTCAAAACCCAATGCTTACAATACAACATTTTCTACCTATTTTGGTCTGTATTTCTAGAAGTTCCCTTCCTCTTCCCAAATCATATCTGAAGACAGATGATCACAGTACACTTTATTTTTTAGGCAAATGTCTCCTCCCCTAAATAACTTACACTGCCCACTGAAGATCATCCCTGAGAGCGCTGTTCTAGCTAGACACTTAGAAAACAAGCAATACCTAATAGTTTAGAGGAAAAAAAAGGCTGTTCACCCCATGAGATCTTGTGGTTTTAGGAAGTAAAAAAATGCAGCTACTCTGAGCATTTTAATTCCCTGAGCAGAGTGAAATTTGAAGACAGTTATTTGTAACACAAAGCATAGCAACATCTATAGCTGTACTTACAGAAGCTGTTTTTTGACAATGGTAAAGTCAGACGTTACATTATGAGCATACAGTAGTTCGTGGTAGTTCCTTGCTTCCTATCACAGGAAATACGATGGCCTTCTTTGGTGAGAAACAGCAGTGAAGACGCTTGATGACTTCGGATTCTTTAGCCTTCTAATATTCTACCGATCTTTAAGTTACAGTCATTGGAGATACCACCAGGCCATAGTGCAGAACAAGTAAACCATCCTAGAGAGAAGAGAAAGAAACTATCATCACACCAATTCACCTTCTTCATGAAGCATTTCTGTCAGCGCCTGGTATGACAGACACATGGTAGAACCTCAGCTTCCATCTCCCTCACGATTTTATACTGTGCCCCTCCATACAGTGAACGTAAGTTTTGAAATATCAAAACAATTATATTCCCCTCTACTCTTTGAGCTGGAGAATGGTGTAAAAAAAAGTAGTAAAATCTGTCCCTTTGCTTTTATTTTAAAGTTATATTGAGATTATCTGATCATCATACAATAGGTTGTCATTTGCAACTCATGTTACTTTCCAACATGATACTGTGGTGCAGAAAGATGCTGCCAAAAGCTGGAAGAGCCCAGACTGCTACTACACATTAAGTCATGATGTTTCTCCTCTTTTGAGACTGCTCCACATATTGCACCACAATAAAAAAACCTTTCACCTGTGAAACTGGACACTTCCTGACTCATTAGTCTTACTTATGTCACTTAATTCCCACACAGCTGGCGAAAGGTCTAGCACTCACAGTCTGCTTCCACCACTGATCCACTGGGAATCTGACTTGTTTAAATGAACTCTTATATGGACAGGCTTTAAAAAAAGTTTTCTTTTGAAGAGAGAAACACATTGATCACAATGTTAGAACTTTCTGCCATAGATGTCTTTATAGTATGTAAGATAATGCATGTTCCAGAGAAGATATACACTGGGGGGGGGCGTATACCAGGGGGGCACATACCAGCCCATTAAAAGAAATTAAATCTTAAAAAGTTAACTATAAAAACAATAGTAAAATTCTTACCATTTTACAGGTTCTGTATTATAATACAGTAACAGTAGAAAGTACCATATTGGTCTAAACACGGTGTTTTGGAAGAATACATATCTATTTTTAAACAATAACTTGTTATGAATGTAAAAATGTTTCTGACTGGATGGTGTAGCCTCAACTACTCACAAAAAAAAGAAATCTCTGAGCCATTTAGCACTGAAGGAAATCTAAAATCGAGAAACTGATCTCAAAAAGGCTGTGCTTTCTATGCCTCCATGACATGCTCTTTTTTTCTTCCCTTAGGAATTCTTTTCAGACAGTGCCTATCAACACCTCTACGTTCTGCCTGGAAAATGACCTTTCCTTTGAAAAATATCCTTGTTTTGCCTCCAGGGCCACAAAGTTCTTTCAGCAGAAAACCACTCTAATTGTTGTTGTGTATAATTATTTTACTCTCTCTTCTAGCATTAGTTGCTTTAGCTTTGTCTGACAGCTAAGCTGGAAACAAAGCTACTGCTCTAGGGAGTGAGTGTGTGGAAAAAAGTGCAGTATGTTATTTTCAAGGAAAAAAAGAAAGTGGAAGAGCTATTGAAGTTCTCAAATGTGATGGTGAAAGAAAAGAGATTCACAGCAAAGAACAGATCTGTAGCAGCAATGCCTTCATCAATTTAGCCAACATGCTCATTTAGTAAAACCTGAAACTCTGCTTCTGGTTACTCATATTTTCATTTACTTAAAGAGGAGATTAATATTCTAAGTCAGGAAAAGAGGGCACCAAAAAAGAAGCCAATTAAAACCCCCCAAATTTAAAAATATAAGGTCCTAAGAATGACCATGTCAGCATAGACCCAACGGTTACCTGGCTCTTGGGGAAAATCTTGATAAAAATACATGAAAAAGGCAAGAATGCTACCTCCCTATAAAAATTTCCATTTTCAAAAGCCTTTCTCAGGAAGTTCCTGAGCACTAAGTCAATGCTGCTTTGTATCGAAGTGTCTTCTGATGACTTGACTTCTATGAACTTGGTCTGTTGCTTCTGAACCTACAAACTTCTGGCACCCAGGAGTCAAACCTAAAGGCAATCAAATTCAAATCACTGGACATGGTGATGTCAGTCATAAGACCAAGACTGAAGATCTGAAAAAGGGGTTAAAATGGAGGCACTGAGAAAACTGGATCAAAGTACTATTTTAAAAGAACCATTAATACCAACCAGAAGGCTGATGCTGGAAAGGGCAGCACATTAGAACTCATATAAAAGAGACTATAGTCAAGCTACAACAAATATACTTGTTCCCTAACTCTACAGCTACAAATGATACAAATGGCTTCAGAGCAACAGCAAATGTGCTCTGTGAGTCTCATGCAGCTTCACTTTCATTTAAAAGATGCTTAAGATGACAAATGAGGGCCTAGTGTAGGATAGGTGCCAACCAACCTTAAGGTCAATGGGCAGGCATGACAAAACCCTGTTTTATTCCTGTGTTGTTATATTAGTGCCAGCTCACTAACACTCCATCTTCTCATCCTGTTAATAACCAGAAATCTGATGCTAATTCCTAAACAGATATAAGAGACAGGAACTTTAACTCCATGCGTAGCATAAGGTGGGATGAATGCGTTGCAACATGAAGAAGTGTTCCCACTTCTTGTCAGGTAGAACAGGCACTGTGAAGTTACTTATGGACCTTTTAACACACTACTTCACAAAGGTATACGCAGTTATACCTTCACAAAGGTATACTTTATTCCTTGTGCTTGTGAGCTACTTCTACTGAAAAAATAACACACATTCAAGCTTCCTTTTTTGGAGAACTGTAACCAAAACCCGATTTTTCTCTACAGCAGAGTTTCTTAAAGGAAAAAAATATTAATACAAGAAAATGCTACAATGTATTCTTTGATGAATGAGGTTTCAAATGTCCTATTTGGCAGTAGGACATTTAAAGAAATTATCTATCTACACAGGAAATACCCCTGTTAAACCAAAGACCAAACCAACTGTAATGCCTCTGTACAAACAGAAGTTGAGAGTTAAGCCAGTACTGGCACTGCTTACTCTGTAATTATTCACTTGTTAGGCACTATACATTTCTATATATGTTCAGCTGCTTTCTCTTGATATTGTTCTTAAAAGAAAATCCAAACAGGGAATTGCTTATTAGTATTTCACTGCTTATTACAAATCTCAAATCAGGCCAAATCAGACATCCCTCCTCCTCCCCCCAAAAGCAAAACTCTCCAGTGTTTTTTGCCACACATTTGTGAACCTGACCTAAGAAAATTGTACTGTTACACACAACCATAAACTTTAGAGTGGAACTGACAGACCAGAACATTACAGCATATACACCTTCTGATGTTATAAAGCAGTAGCAACCAGAAGTGCCCTGTTTTCCAAATTCAGTATCCCCACAGCAAAGAGTAAACCACAGCAGATGTGTGCCAGAGGGTCACAGTAATTAACTTAGATCACAGCTCTTACTGCTTAGCTCAGGAGAACAAAAAAATACGGCAGCACTGGGCTATAAAAGGTGAGAACTACAGATACCATTATAATCTGCAAGACCTCTGTGCCCAGGGCCAAGGACATAAAGGAAGCTACCACTCTTTCTAGCTTCTCCCATGTGTGAACTTACTACATCCATCAGTGACACACTGCTCTGAGAAGGTCAGTTTCAAACAAGTGAAAACAACTAGCAGCTTGGATCACACTGCATTCATGCAGCAGAGGGGAGCGGTAGAAATTATATTCCCATGTAGTTAACAACAATCTTCCTTCCTCAGCTACTTGATCAAACTTTTAATTACAGGCAGATCTCAATGTTTGGTTATAAAATTAAGCCTTTTAAAAAAATTCTATCAGTGTCTTTCATCTCTTTTTGCTGTAAATTTCAGTTGTTTTACACTGTTTTAGAAATTATATATGAAAAAGCCACTTTGCTTAAATTACGTGCAGCAATTTTTTTGTTTTAGCTCTAAACAGAGCTAGAAATCCTACTTTCAGCTAATTAGAAAGACAACCTACCACCCAATCTCAGAAGTGTTAAAATACCTTCAGATCTACAGGATTAAACATGATTTATTGCTGACCTTTTTTTAGTCTTATATTTACTTCTTGGAAACTACCATGTTAATTGTTTCCATTCAAGCACTAAAATTTCTTCCCTATTTACTCCAATTAAAACAAGTTGAATAGGTTATGATGGGGCGAATGTCAGGAATATTTATTTTTAACATCAGATCACACTTGATCTTCCCACACTTGTTGGAAAGGCACACAGTAATTCAGAACAGCTAAAATCCTGCCAGCTTGTTCCTACAGAAGACTTACATTTAACTGAGGCTCTAAGGCATCACTACACAATGTTACTCAGTAGGAAAAAAAAACAAACCAAACCCAAGCCCACTCAAAATCTTCATAAGACAATCTTGAGCATTTAAGAACCATTCAGGAGGAATAAAAGCCCCTAAAAAATAAAAAAATTATGGTCCTGAAAAATAAATCTCACCCAATATGTTTTGCTGCATTGCATTGGAAGAAACTTACAATGTAAATGCTGCCAAAGAATGCATGTTAAAATTAATGCCTTTGGCAAAGAGAAACTTATCTGCATTTTTTATATCACTTTTCTCAGCAAAATAATAACTGCTGTCATCAGTGAACTTGCAAGTAAAAAACGTGACTGAAGAGCAGTTATTTTCCTCCTCTAGCAGTGTCCGTACTTACCTAAATAAACCCCCCCAGTGTTCACCCCTTTAAATGACTTTGTATTGCGTAAGTAGCTACTGAAGCTATTTTCTTAGCATGAAGCATCTATAATGACCCTCAGAAACTGTAAATGACAATGGCAGTTTTGAAGAGTGTTTCAGTATCCTAGTGAGAGCTGCTAGGGGCAGCCAAGCTCCAACACTGTTTTGGAAAGGCTGGAAGGTTATGATGGCACAAGATGCCCTTGGAGCTCAATGTGAAAATCCATCAAGCGCTCTTGTGTAGTTGTAGTTGCACTGGGCAAGGACAATCATGCCCCTCACTGAATTTCAGGTCTTGGTGAAAAAGATAATCCTTACCATTTGTAGATTTGACCTATCTTTTTTTCTCCTGGATAATTGTCTAAAAACATATTTCCAAGGTTTTTTAATCCTGGAAATGCATCCTCTTGATTTCTGATAAATAATACAATGTAAGACTATAAATTATGCAACTTTTAAAATTATTTCAGTATCAGGAAGCAATTGTGCTTTATTTCTAACATTCCCACTGCAACTATTTGGCATCCTAAGAAGTTCTATAACAAAATGAAGAAAAATTAAGGGTGAAACTGAGCTTTCAAATTTCCTTGCTAAAGTGACTATGAAAGCACGACTCCATGAAAAGCAAAAATCTCTGCCCAGTGGAGCAGGCTTAGAAGAATCCATCACTAGCATACTGATTTTGTAATAATGAGATTTGAAACATCACTGGAGAATGTATCTCAGGACAACTGTTCTCCTTGTGGAGCTGCTGACTGGTACTTAGCCACTAAACATCAGTCAGGCAAACCTAATTCTGACAAGAAATGAAAGACACTAAACTTGAACTAGACAGATCATGTCAGAAATCAAACTGATGAAGTTTTCTTTAAAGTGCTTCCCTAAGAGCATTTCTCATACAGGAAAAACTTTCGTGCTAAGACGAAGTCTAAAAGCATGTACATTTGACTATACCCCTGGACTGAGAAATAAATCACACCCTGCTATTTACTGAAGCTTTCAGTAGAGGATACTTCCATTGCTGTGTGTTGATTGCTGTATTTACTTACTATGAGCTCATGCTAGAAGCAAGTTTGTTACCAGTGCTGGCTTCCTCCTGGTTTCTATCCCCTACTCCCTAAAGTAGGTTAGGTTACACTTTATTCATTTCTGCATGCTATTATATGAACAGCTAAACCATCAAGTATGGCATTTATTCCCTTTGACTGCAGACACAGAGGTACACAAAAGCCTCAAAGATTTTTAATGGATGCCAGCACTAGCATTAGCCACACCTGTCCACCCTGACTGAGGGACTCCTCCTTGTTACTCAGATCAGATACAGGTAAAGCAGTGTCCAAGATACCTCAAAATCAACTTTCCACTTGATCCAGAAATCCTCTTGTGGGGGCCTGAAAGGGCTCAGCAGGAAACTTAGATGCCAAAGATTGTGCATATGTGTGCACATACAAGTGCGGAGAACTGGATTTGTTATTTTAGCCCTTTTGCCATCTCCTCAGATTACTTTCCAAATAAAATACCCATCTAAATCCTATTTATTCCTACTGTATTGGATTAAACAGTAACTTTTCAGATACTCAAGTTTAAATAAACCATCTTACCATTCCTCACAATTTTACATCTGTGTCTTACTATGCACTGGACAGACCACTTCACTGCTTTTGCTGCACTTCTAAAATGGTATGACCCTTCCCATTATAGAGATACTTGAAAAGATTCCCAAGGAAGTAAGAAAATGTTTGCTTATTTGCAGAGCCAGAAGCACTTCAGACAGTAAACTATCAACAAGAAATTGCTGTCTATACACTCAGGATTGGTATATTTGGTTTGTGTTTTTATAAGCAAGTTTATGTCCCTGACCTAATAACAAGGCTGGCCTTATTTTGGATGCTTCAGGTCCTTCCATTTCTTGGAGAGATGCAACCTCCAGGGAGGAAGACAAGGAATGTTAATTGAAAGAAAGGCTGGTATGATTTATCACTAATAACAACCTATTTCAGAATAGGAAGAAAAACCCACCACAAAGCCCTCATGTCCATGTCATCATCAAAGGATAAAGAACACTCTTAGCACATGATGTACTTCTCAACTCCACTTGCAATATAAAAAACATTTTGTGTAAGCTGGAAAAATTTTTCATAGTAACTTCTTCAGACAAGCTGCTGCTACCTGAGAGCTTAAGGAAGGAAGTCTTTTACTTTAAAACAGAAAACCTGGAGCAAAGCCCAAGCCGCCATATGTACCTGTACTGCACTCTCTCCTATAGCTTGACGAATTTCCCTCAGAGTCTGGTAGTGTTCTAGGAGGTGATCACCGCATATTATGTCCACCTGTGAAAGAACATAAACACCATCAAGTTCAACCTACCTTTGAACAAGCGAAATGGTATCTAAGTCCTTTAAAATGGACACAAGAGTTCAATTCTAGCATGTTAGACAATAAAGCCATCTTCACCTTTGTTGGCCAACTGTATTCAGCACACACAGCGCTGCTGCACTGCCATCATGTTTCCCACCCCATGCCCCTAACCTGGAGTTCACTTCTGGAACAGTTTTATTGTTTCACTCCCAGTTTTGTGCCTCCACTGAGAAAAGTTCTCTAGTAACAGCTTTGACAAATTTAATGTGCATTTAGAGCATGTATTAAAACAATCCCACAAACATCCAGAGTCATTCATTAGCTGCAAAAGAGGGCAAGTTGTCTGTGCCACTTACAATAAGCCATTGCTACCCTCATTCCTACCTTGAGTGAGAAAACGTGAATAAGCCTGCTTAATATGACTGTTTGAAGAAGTGTTTTAATAGAAAAGCTCACTGTATGCCACTGTCAGCAACCACATCCCACAGTCCTCTTGCATAACACAAATCCAGTCTCTAACGTTCTAAATCAGAGCAGCTAACACAGCACTGTTTCCCTCTCAACTGCAGCTTGGTTACATTTTGCTTATGAGCAATTTTTAGGTACGGAAATGAGAGCTGTCATGTGTGACTTACAATGACAAAACCTCAAAGTTAAAGTTAAGAGCATTGACAATGAGCTGTCCCGCAGCTTTCTGCAAGGAAAACATCTAAGCTCTGCCACTGCAGTAGTGGGGGAGCATACTGCAATGTCATTATGTATTCTCTTCCACAGACACTTCACTACAGGATACACTCTGTGCTTAAGCTGTTCAATTCACCTAGATTTATGCTCTTTCACGTGCTGACCCACTCTCTCTCTCTCTCTGTCTTCATGAAAAGATTTGGGAAGATTTATGTCTCATGCTGGCAGACTGCATTGTTCTGAGAATCGAAACACAGGAATTCTACTCCTTGGGGACTCAGAAAGGGCTAATTTACCTCACCATCTGTATAGTATGTTCATGTTAGGTTGAATCTTAATGCACAGAAGATATGAACTGCTCAGCATTACTTTTGATTTTAGCTTCTAGGACAAAATCAGCAAGTAAAAACTAATCTGGATGTAACATTAAATACCGATTATCTATAGACACATATATACACACACGTGTATGCATTTAGCAGCAACATTTGATGCATTTAACACAGAATCTGTAAGAAATATATTTCTTTTTGAAAGCTGACTACAGTTATTTCTGCTGTATCCCCATGTATTCTACCCTCTAGTTATTACTGCAGGAAGGACATATGTGCTTTGCTTTTTGGTGATATACAAGTTTAATCACTTTTGCTTTATAGGCTTACTTTTATAATTTAAAAAAAAAACCATTAAGGCACTGAAAACTCAATCTTGCTCTCACTGAAGATACACACATAGATATTTCATATATTCTACAGAAACAGAAAACCCAATCTATTTTCCCAATATAGGATGCCAATGACACAGTGACAACTGCTGACGTTTCAAAACAGAATCAGAATGCTTGTTTGAAAATATCCCACTCTGACCCTGATGCTCCAGTTTCAAATGCTCATCATTAAAGATTCACTGTCTTCTAATACATTGCCAAGTTTTTCACATTTAATATGTTAGAGTGCTCTGAATACTAAACGTCCAATCAACTCATTCCAGTACCAAAGCCTGAACTTCTGCCTGCTAATTTGATGCTAGGAATCATTCTATAAAGACAAGAGAACAGAACATAAATTGAAAAAAACCCCAGCTCAGCACAAAAATCAGCTGGAGGAGGAATCTTTGTGCCATACAAGAATTAACATGTTCCATTGCAAAAGAAGCACCAGCAACTCAAGTACTATGGATTTACTCTAATTTCAACTGACAAGTGAGATGGAAGCCAGCTAGTACTGATAGGCAGGAAGGCAGCAGTAAGTATCATTTGACCTTTCACTGCAAGGAAACATGAAGGTGTAGCTGATGTACAGTCAGTCTCTTAACAGCTCTGTTAAAATTCTTATTAAAGCAGCCTTTCTATTATGCCACTTATGTTCTTTAGGTGGCACGTCTGTTATTCGAGCCATTTCTCTAAAAGCCATGATAACAGTCAGTTATATATTAATACTAAGTAGGATGAGATAAAATTGGAAAATATTCATGCAAGGGACATCCCACATAAAATTAATACCAAGGAACAATTTGGCCCAGAAAGCAGTAGACTCCAGTCGGTAGTTTCTACACCAACCCACACTATCCAGGGAAGGTTAAGGAGAAACCAAGTTGACATGAGTATTTGGGCTAGTTATACAAAAAGCTGACAAATCTTTCCATTTCTCTAGCTGCTATTTAGTTTTCAAAGGTACCAGATACTTCTATTCCAGTGTCTAAGACTAGCATAAAGAACTGCATCAGCAACTACGCTATGTGAGCACAGACTTTCTTCTGGTCTTTCCCCAGGCTGTGGTTTACACACATCTGATTACGGAACATTTCCATTCCATAGGCTACATTAATGAATTCAAACCAGCCAAGCTGCAAGTCTTTCAGCAGTCTTTCACAGAGTGAATGGCAAGAAATACTGCTGCAGGATGACCTCAAAGGAAATAACACTTTGCAGAAAATTTCTCATTTTCTCCCCACTCTTCTGCAGAATGCAAACTATACAGACGTGCAGGAGATGCTGATGCCAACTACCTAAAGGATTCCAAGCAACATACCTGTGTTTAACCCAAATTAAATGTTACCTACTTAGTTGTTACTAAAAATTCCAGTTGCTCAAAAATTATTTTCACGCATTCCCCATCAAATTCCAGCAATAATATTCAAGACAGACCTTGTCATTAGAAATATAAACACATACAGAAAATTTATGCCCAAAGCACAGAGATCAAACAAAGCACCAGAAAGAGTAATCTACAGTCTGTCAGCTCAAGAGGTAGATAAAAATAAACAAAGCCTTAACCTTTCAGAAACTATGAAATTTGAATGCTAATCCATTTGCAAACTCAAATACGGAAGTCTAGAAATAATTTGAGGCCTCAGACTAGGAGAAAACATAGGCAGTGACTTCAACTGCTTTTTAGATTTTTATTTATACTGTCACATGAGTCAGATTGCTTATTTCACATTTTCATTAACCTCAATCCAACCCACTTCTGCAGGTTAATGAAAAAATGCAAATATTATCTAATATTCTACACAAATTAAGTCAAAGAGGTCCAAGCACAGCCAGTAGCTCAAAAGAATGAGTAACATACTTTCTACCACTTGGTTGCTGAATATGCTTCAACAGGGAACAAACAAAATGTTCTCAAATAATACATTCACAGACTGTCAAACTAAGCTGATGCTCAGTAGGAACTGATCCCAGTCACAAAATAACCACACCTAGCCTCCTTACCAGAAGTTTCAATAACGAAGCCAAAAATGCAACTGAAATACTAAGGAGAGAATGGAGGAAAGACTCTGTGCCCTCCTTACAGTCAAATCTTTCCAAGCACCATGTAAGGCACAATTAAACACTGCAGCAGGAAGTTTTCTGGAGATCAGTGCAGTGCACTTTAGCACAATAATGCCAGAAACATGCATTTCTGAAAGAAATTTCCTAGCTTCCCAAGGGAATCTAGTTCTTGGACTCTAGTCCCAAGCTAAGCACACCAAACTCCTGACATTTTATATAAAAATTGATTATTTTAGGTAACAAAGAAGTGGAGAGAGATGGAAATCAGAATTCAAGTAATATTAAAAACAAAAACTCTCTTAGTATCTATTTCTTCTTTAACGTATTTTGGGGAACCCTACAGGAAATGAACCACTACAGTCCTCACTCTTCCAAATTTCTAAAACCAACCAAGCACCCTTTACATTTATATACTTTGCACATATGGTTTCCAACCTATTTCCCTAAATTCTTCTGCTGTGCTAATTTATATTCACGTTCTTCCTAGATTTGTTTTACAGTTTCCATTTTATTAGTCATCCAAGGAAGCTGAAGAAAAACCATGTCTCATTAGGCTTATTAAATCTTTGGTGACATATCTGACATATCTTCCACCTTTTGTGTGTTTACCAACATACAAACAAGTTCAATTCTGCATACTACAACGAGAAGGTGACAGCTTAGTACACACATTTCTTTAATCTTAAATCCCTGTATGACAGTGAAATTATCAATCAGGACAAGAAAAATGCTTCCTGCTTTGTTTCCCTAATTCTCTAATCTTTTAAAAATAAGCCTGAATATCTTCAAGAAATCAGTCATCATTTGTGGCGTGAAAATCAACTTCAGGTTTCCAGTGACCCAAAAAATACTTGCTGATAAATAATAGGAGTGGATCACTTAAGAGGGGGGGAAACCAACAGCCAACAAATCTGACTGTAGAAGAAAGAAGATTTAACATTTTCTCCAGACAGGCAGGGCTTGCACAGAAGAGACCAAGAGATTAGAACTAGCCCATGACTGTGCCTTACTCCAGGATAGCAAACTGAATACTAGCAGTGACAAAAGTAACTGGGTGAAAAGAAGTCTTGGTATCATCTACTTTTGAGACACAGTAATATTTACCCGTTTGGAGTAGATCACATCCTGCTGGTGGCATCCAAGCAGAAAGTATCAAATGGGCAAGTTACCTGTCTTAGATGACCTCAAGATTGCAAAATCTGAAAGATATCCAACATGGAGGCCTAGCTTGACTTTGAAAGATGGGTAACTGCACTTTTCATTACAGATGGCTCAGTGTTCCTTAAAACTGAGATTCTGTTGTACTACAAAAGAAAACCCAAACAAAACAATTTCTTCCCCTCACATAAATGACTCAATGCAAGCATTTTTTCTAGCCTCATTTTTACACTATTTTTATTTGTTCACAGTATCAAGTTACCACCACCTGAAAGCTACAGAGACTCTCACAGAGAGGAAACCAGCAATTGAAAATATATTACTTCCTCAGATTGATGAATAATTTATATCTAATTTGCTTTGTTGCCACTGAAAAGGTAAGTGGCATGAATAAATCCTCATTACTAAGGCACACAGTCATGCTGCATTGTCTCAGACAGCTACTGCTGTATGAAAACACAGCCGTAACTCTATAGCCAGCATTTACCTTTCACCATTTGCCTATACACAAGTATCAGTTTGATTTACCAGTAACTGACAGCTTTGAGAATCATTTACACATCATGGAACTCCTGCATCTGCTCAACTGAATGGTTGCTGAACTACACTGAAGAATTGAAAACTGGTTCTGACACATAATTTCTATCAAAATGGTTGATAAATATGAAGTTAAATTCTTTTGTACCATGTTTTGTTCCTTTGAATTCTTATTTGAATGCATGTACCTGCATCTGCATTCATACCTTACATTTACATCCGTCTTTCACTGCATCCACCCACAGCATCATTCTTTCTTAGCCATTGTTTGCTTCTTCAACATTCAGTTAAATTTTACTGTTATTCAGCTCCTACCTGTTTCTGGCTTTCATATCCTCCCACGTTCAACACCCTTCTGTCTATATACTCAGCTTTATCTTTGAAACAGCAGTATCTTCTGGCTTTGCATTTAACCTGCTGAAATCTTACATGGCACTTTAGAAACTCTAGGCAAATAATGAAGTATTATAATGAAAATTTAACCCTGTTGCAAGTGAGTTGAGTTGTTCCTTGTGGATCACAATATTTCACACATTTCATTTTTTTAAATCCTTATCATATTAAAAGAGCCTAACATTACTTTTTAGACTCTCATGAACAATGGAAATGTTCTGTCTGAATGCAGGCATTTACACTGATCACAGTGAACTTGTAAATGCCACTGTAAGTCACACACCTGACAAGTAGGGTCCAGATCCATTTTTCTTCTGAGGAATTTCTCCACATGTCCAATTGTTGCCTCTCCGGAAACACGCACAAACTTCTTTTCCAAAGGCTGCAAAGAATAAATGTAAGATTTTAGGGTAACATACATTTTCAGCCATCATCCCTTGAAAACCCCAAACCCAAGTGAAAGCCCAATAACAGAGGGAGACAGCTTAAATTTTTGGACCTTTCTCTGACCTGCTTCCAGATTACCTCATATGGAAAGAACTAAATATGTATCAAGACTCCAGGGTCAAACTTCCTGCTGTTTAAAACAACATTTAAAAATAACTACCTACTGACTTCAGTATGTTTCACTATTGAAGTACCAGAGAATGACACTTGCTATTAATTCTGCATAGAAATTAGTATTACACAGCATTTTAAAAATTTCTCCCCCCACAAGCATTTACTCATCAGAAGCACATGAACTATTTCCTGAAGTTTCCTTATTTTCCCCAAATCAGGCTTGTGTGCCAAACGCAATTCAGACAATTAAACCAAGTTATCTAACAACGCAAAGAGCTCATGTCCTTTAGCATTCTAGAAGTATCATGGCTTGAACTGGAATTAACGTAATCCATTAAATTCTACAATCAATTAAAGTATGCTACTATGCAGAACACAAGGGCAAGACTAGTCTGAAATCTTTTTGTATCATTTCTAAATACTTTCATAGCAAAAGCTGCACTGACAAGACATCGTTATGCCAGCCTCAAAAACGTTAATGCATCTCTCTTCTATGGATAAAAATTTAAGCAGCTGACTGGTAACACTGGCAGCTAAGCAAAGAGGCACAGAGGCAGCAGATGACTGCATCTGGTGTGATAAATGGATTACATCTTGTGTCAACCAATTGGATTTTTATGTTGACTTCTGAACAGCTGTGATTTACTATCATGGTTCATCATATTCCTTCAGTTTGAAAAAAGGGTCAGAGGGTCATGGACTACCCTTGAACTCAATCATGAATTTAAATATGTATCTATGATAACTGTGGTATTGGAACAATAGATTGATTTATTCATGTACAAGAGCTAGAAATGAGTCAGACCTGATCTAGGGAACCAATCTGCTTCAAGCTCGATGATGCTGAATTTATACTTCCTGCATATATAAATCACAGTTTATTGCCACAGACTTCATAATCTCTTTTCTCCTCACTATCCCTGCTTAAAAAAACCCCAACCAAGCAAAAATATTTGTGCTAACTCTACCATTTACATATCTCTTAGATTCTATTTTTCTGTGCCTTTCCACTTTTGAATCCTACAATTCCAATACAAGAAAAGGTTAAACACAATATATACCAAGTAATTTTAAATTACATCTCCTTCTTGCCCTTGAATAGTCTTGTTTTCTAAATGTTTAGTCAAAATAGTGGCATGACACACCCTGAGCATCTATAACTACAGCAGATGAAATCATGAAGGCAGTAAACAATGTGTAGTTCGTCTATGAATTTGTATCGAAACAGCTTAGCAAGAAGAGCTATACTGGAAGAGCCATATTCTTTAGCAAGGATTAGGAATGCTATTTCTTGTTTGGCAGAACAGTCACTGTTCAGCAAAAAAGCTTTGTTAGTGAAAGGATGAAGAATAAGTTTTCTGCTGGCTAAGGCAGAGTGCAGTCCAAAATCTGTATATTTTTTGTTATATGCTTAAGTGCATAGCGGTGTATTATACCTCTGGCTTCCTCTGAATAACCTGTGCAAGCTTTCCGCTACAACTAGAGAGTCTTCCTCAGAAACCAGTATTTTAGACAGTGTGTACACCTTTTTTTCAGGATTCCAAGAAAAGCCACAGTAGCACACCTTTTGGAGAGATGTGCAGTAATAACAAGATAGAATCACCTAGGTGAAATTTCATTGTCACTTTAATTCTCCTACCAAAACTTCAATTATGTAGCCTCAGAAGCATTCTTTTCCTATTCTGTGATGCTATAAAATAATACGTTTGAAGGTACACTGTTATCCAAAGTTGATTATTACTATGATGATGAAAGTTCAGGTTGTACTTGGTGCAAAAACCCCCAAACTAAATTAAATACATTCAGGTTATATATATTTCTGAAGTAAACCATAAGAGAAAAATTCAAATTGCATCTGTACCTTAAAGTTCCCTGTGCCTTCATTAGCTCTAAAAAACAAGAGAAAACAGTCAATATTGCAAAGGTCCACAGTTAACACCCTCAAGCTCTTAATTGTAATAGTGACTTACTAATTTAGCAGTGTGGCATATCAATCTTACTTCTTAAACCAGCTTCCTCTCATTAAACTCTAATACATGAAATGATATGAAATTTATGTATGTATCTTTTTCTTCTACCATTTATTCAGTACTCTACCTTTCTTTTTAGTTTATCTATTTATGACTTTTAGGTTTGTCCACTGAAAAAGGAAAAAAAACCAAACACACAGCCTAAAGCCATTTTGAACACAATATAACATTTATTTTCATCTCAGTAGGTTGTAATATGAATGCTGCTTAAACATCCATACTTCATCACCCTTGATATTTGGAACTTTAACAGACAGTACCTAAGAAGTTGCTGCCAGAACATACCCAACCATCAAAAAAGATTCCTGGGCCAGCTGTTGGCTTTCTAGACTATTTATATCACAGGATTAACACTAATGCTATCTAGGAAACTCAGAAAAACAGAAGCTGTTTCTCTGGAAGGTGAAATACACACAAAGGTATCAAATGACCAAATTCCCAGCTGGCTTTTAACAGAGGCTGATTTGTACAGCCTGAGAATGTGATTTACTACTGATCATCTATACTCCACACCTCCCATCTGGTAGTGCAGCGTGTACACATCTCCATTAATGAAACCCAATTCATGACATTTCACTCTTCTTGGACTGCATTAGCAAGAATATACATATGAGAGAGGAAAAAAGATGCAGGACTTCATTGTGTTGGAAAGGGCAAAAATCAAACATCACTATAAATCTCCTATACGTCTACTAACCATTTGCTATAGCAAACAAATGTATTTGCAATGTTTGTGCAGATCACACATTAGCATGGCACTTCAAGTTACCGTAATCAAGTATCTCCATCTCTCAATATGTATCAGAGTTAAGTAAAACTATCATCAAATTCTGCCACTGAAATGAAAATTAAAGTTATGAAGAAACAAACACAGAAAAGCTTTTCCACTATAGCAGTGGAAATTCTTTCATACAATTCCACAGCCCCAGGTGATGAGATCATATACTCTAGTCACCATATAGTCTCATAATTTTAAAGTAACAATATCTGCTGGCTGACCAAACCCATTCCAAGTTTTCTTTATTTAAAATGATTTCTTAATGTCTCATCACCAAAATAAACCACTGATTTTGACCACTGAAAAGGAGAACATTAACCTTTAAACATATAAAGTATAAAAGATGATAAAAGGTTAAAAAAGCCACTAAACCAAAATGCAAAGTAGTTGCTGTTAAAGCATCTTTTTTTTTTTTGTTGGATACATTCTGTGCTTCCCTCCATCCAAGTAACAAAACCACAGTGCACAGTTTCACCTAGTATAGATGGTTTTTGCACAATATTACCTGCTTTATTGCCAACATTGGAACGGAAGCTTGAAATGAAACTACCAGAAAAACAAAGACAAGAACACAGATTCAAAAATCCTCTTGTTGATTTGACAGACAGGCAGATCCATGTTTACTATTTTTGAGGTCTAAATCGTTTTTGAACATTAAAAACAAAACAAAAACCAAACAAAAAAACCCAGACAAACCACAAAAAAAAAACCCAAAACAAATACCTGCTGAGAATCACAGGAGGGGGAAGTAACGAGGAGCATTTACAGTGGAGATCTAAACTGAAGTACTTTCACTACAGTGAGTTCAAACTGTATCTAATCCTGCAGCCAAGACAACCTAAGTGATCTAGCCTGAAAGGGACAACCCTGGAAGTAATATCTGATTTTTGTTTTTTTAAAGTCATTTTACAGTGACATGATCATTGAGAAATAGGGCTGCTGGTGCAAAGCATGCTTCCTCTGCCACCTGCTGGGCCAGCACAGCAGTAGCTGGTACCCACCTTGGGTCTCAGCATGGGCATCCTTCAAACTCTATCTAGATGGCAACTCCACAAGATACAATCACAGCCAAGGCAATAAAATAATAGCATGTAAGTCCCTAACCCAACATAAATGTAGGGCAGATGGCATTTGATTTACTCTTTTCTACTGAGATTTTAGACACAGCATTTTACCTTACGTCTGTATATACCGATTTCATCACATTTTACACAATGAGTAAAATGCCTGAGCCCCAGGTCACTGGGACCCTGTACTAATTATATTATGTGTTCATTACCACATTTATTAAAGGGAAAAAAGCCTTTATAAGTACAAATAAAAGCTGTATTTAAGTTTCAAGCGTACAGTACACAATGGTCACACACTGAACAGCTTTGTAATGTCTCTGCTTTCCTCTCCAAGAGCCTCTCTCAACACATGGCTTTTGGCTTTACTTATGATGATCCCACTCTTAATGCAAAAGCATTCATTTCCTCAGTCTCATTTCTTCAGCACATGAATGTATTTCCATACCATCCTACTCAGCAGAATGGCAGTATAATACCTTGTTTAAAAAGAGAAACCTGAGACAGTGTTGAATGGCAACCAAGAACTGCAATTGCCAAATCTGGGACATCCAAGATTGGATTTGTCTGTGGAACACTTGATACTATGGTTTTAGTCATAACTCCTACTGCTTTCAGCTATGCTTGTGAGGATTCAGCACTTCTTCAACTGAGACATAAAGAAAATGAACACTGAAATTAAGTCAGATATGTGGATTCACAAGGATATTCTGTAGAACAGTCAGGCATTGTTCCCTAGAGGTTAAAGTCTAATACTTTCTCTTCCTGCAGTCCCACTCCTCATCTATTTAAAGACATAGAGAAGCCACGTGACAGACAACACAAAAATGAAGCAAACAGAATGAAAAACCACACACCCCACATGCCAGACCAAAATTTACCATGGAGGAAATTTGTTCTGCACTCTGAATGAGACACAGGGGAGACACTGAACATATATAAAGACTAAGACATGATGTCTACAAAGAATGAAGTTGAATTGAGATGGCATGCTTTGCAGCTATAATTTCCAGATTTCTGAGGGCTTAATTTTACATCATTTATATAATAGTTTCCTATGATTACATACTGCAGCCTCTGAACAGTGCTGATAAAGTCAGGCCAAAAAGCAGGCACAATCTGAGTAAAGGGGTAAGAGCTGCACAAGAGGCAAGCCACTCCTCTCTGCAATTGAGCTTCTACACTGTGTGATGCTAGTAGAGTAGTTAAAGCTTTCAATCCTTTCTCAAATTACCCTCTCTCATGTAACATAACCTCTAACATATAAATCTGCATATGGATAAAGCAATACAATTTCTCCTTCTTGTGCTCCTGAAAACAACTCAAGTGTTTGGACTAAATTTCCCCTGACATCCTACGGTTAAAGGTGACTCATCATACAAAAGCTTCAGCAAAATTCATTAGTCTGAGAAACTGTCAGGCAAACTTAACAGTAGACCATGGTATTACCCCCACCTATAACGTATAAGGGAACACTACTTTTGCTGCCCAGACTGCAGTTGCAGTCTCAGAGTTTATGAGCAAACCTCAGCATTACCACTAATAGTATTGACCCCTACAGGAATTAAGGCAATAAAGAGTTTTATCAGTTTACTGACTGGCTTAAAATTAAACAAACACATATAAATTTTAAAACTATACTTTTTAGGAAACTATTTTCATAGGAAGACACACCTTACAAATTTAAGTATGTTCAACGTCTAGCTACGCATACTTGGCTGTCACTACGACAAGTTAAAAACAGCTTCCTATTGCTACTTGAGATAGAAAAGAAACACACAGTCAGTGAAAATGAAGAGCTAGTTAATGGTCCAACACACACCAGCAGCACCCTCACTTCAGGTGCTTGCTCTTACATTTGACCACAACTCACCCAATGAACTCAAGCAGTATGGAGATGTCAAGCTCTGGTGGGATCCGGAACACAGAGCCCAGGACTTTTCGAGGTCTTCCTCTGCTCACTGGAACTGGCTGTGGGACAGCTAAAATATTCAAAAAGCCAAAATGCAAACACAGTTTGAAATAAAAGCAGCTTAAGAGGGGGCCTACAAGGATGCTGGAAAGGGACTCTTCACTAGAGACTGTAGTGATAGAAAAAGGGGTAATGGGTTAAAACTTAAACAGGGGAAGTTTAGATTGGATATAAGGAAGAAGTTATTTACTGTAAGGGTGGTGAGGCACTGGAATGGGTTGCCCAAGGAATTTGTGAATGCTCCATCCCTGGCGGTGTTCAAGGCCAGGTTGGACAGAGCCTTGGGTGACATGGTTTAGTGTGAAGTGTCCCTGCCCATGGCAGGGGGGTTGGAACTGGATGATCTTAAGGTCCTTTCCAACCCTAACTATTCTGCGATTCTATGCTCACATGCGCCAAGCAAAACAGATGAGCTCATAAGGAAAAAGAGCCCATGTAATTAATCTTTTTTTTTTTATTACTAAATCAGCATTTTATACATTTCATGCTGTGTATCTGAACCAGCATTTTATTAGCTTTCAGGATGGCACTTCTCGAAAGAGCTAGTTATTTGACAGTAAGACAAAAAATAATTAGAATAATCCCTCATCTGTCCACAGACTTTGAAGTTTTTATTTTTACTCCTTTATAACGTCTCTAGTTTATTAAGGGCCATAAAATAAAATTAACACACATTTGATCTGTATTTCCTGGTTATAGGCAAAATATAATGGTTAAAAAAAAAATAATCCCACAATCCAACCACAGTCTGGGTTCAAGTACTGCCAGTTCCACCTGTTTTGTAATCTGAGAACTGTGACTAGGCAATCAGACTACCAAGAATCCCCTATTTCCAATATTACATATCTTCTTTAGTTGTGAGCTAATATTTCAAGGAAAGCCCAAGAATAAATGGCATATTAAATATTTCCCTAACGGTGTCCTCTAAAGTGATTACAGCTCACCTGGTTTGGGCACTTCTAATCCTCTTTCTTTATAGAAGTCATGCATTTGTTTTTTCTCCCCTGAAGAAAAAAATAAACCCAACACAATATAAAACAAATTAAAATGATATTTCAGATGCTGAGAATATCCAAACAGTTTCCAATGGTCAGAGCAGTAAAAACTTTCCAAGTTCCTACAGACCTTTATGATCACTAGTATTCCATATGAGGCTGGGACACTTAAGATACCCAGACTAAGAGTCTGTTAGTAAAAACTGAGAAGAAATCAGAGAAAGTGGTGATAAATTATGCTGAAATAGCTGCAAAAACTAGTATCCTTCTGGCTGTTGTGACTATTTTTATATCACCTTTAGTCCATATATATCCACTAGATCTGTATATTTCACTCAGTCCACCCAAGTGAACTGTGCGGATACATTTGCTCCCAAAGTTCAAGGTAAATGATATGAGATCATGAGCACATCTAAAAATCAGAAAAATAATGTGACAGTGAGAAACAAGTAAAAGCATTTGAGGGAATCAGTCTTAGCAACCTTTCTTCAACTGAGCCAAGTGAACTTCTTACATGGAATGGTATTTTCTCTACTTACACAAAAATATGACACAACAATTACATATTATTTGGATGTTTATCTGGATACGGTGTTTGATATGAAACCTGCGTTTCATAGGATATGTACCACTGTCCATAATAGCATGTAGTAACCAGAAAGATGCCAGTTGTCACAGCTAATTGATGAAGATTTATAACCAAGCATTACAAAGCTATTTTAAAGAGTCTAGAGTAGACAGGACTTTGAATTAAACTGTTTTCTGTTCAGTCTTTTAAATCTCTAGATGGTAATAAAAAAAGAAAGGGACTTACTTTCCTCCAAATTGACAACTAATTTATAAACTATGTCTTGCAGTTGTCGGTCCAGCCTGTTAAAGAGAAAAAAAGAAAGTGGTGAAATACAGAATGGCTTTCACTAAATGGTTACAGAGATGTCAAACACACTGTTGAAATGTGACACCCAAAGAGAAGGGTGACAGAGCAAGAACTCCGTATCTGTCTATATTCATGTCCTGACAGCAGAGCTCCAACAGAAGCCATGTAAAGTTAAAAGCATCACCCTTCCAAGAATTTATGTACCACTTGAGAAACTAAAACCTCGATTTTCAGAGTTAAGTATACTATGCCAATAAAACTCTGTTTAAAAGTAAATGAAAGCACATAGTTAAGATCCCGTATCACCTATAGCACAGAGCAAATGTATAAGAATACCTGGGGAAGGGGAACAAATCCTAAGAAGGGATACAAACTAGATAAAACAAATTAAGCATTTTATCCTCACTGTTGTGATTAAACTTAAATAAAGAAAAAAAACAATCTGTTTCTTATAACTCTTCATTCATTTGAAATAGGAAAGCACTACAAGTCTGTAAAACAGAACATTTAAAAGCAAGCATCCCAACTTGAAAAACACAAACCAGCCCAAAACCATAAAAATGGCATGAACTTATTACCTGATATTATAAAGGGGTTGTGTCTGATGTACAACAATGTTGCATTTTGGACACCTGTTGCTATAGTAGAAGTGTCTCACTATGCAGCTTTTACAAACTGTAAAGAAAAGAAACCCCATAGAAGTTACACATCATTACACAATACCAGCTGTTTAAGCAAGAGGAGCAAGTACACCCAGACCTCTCAAAGTCTGACTCAGAGACATACTTAAACAATTTGTTCAACTCACGTAAACAGAAGCTCTCTGATGTTTTCATTGTATATGTACTTTAAAACTTTGGAAGGAAAGCTCCCTATCAGCCTGAACACATCAGGCCTTTCTGTAAAATTTACCAGGAAACGTCTGAGAGACCACCACCAAGTTGCACTTGCAACATTATGCTGTCTTTACTTACAGCTGTGCATTTTCCAGAAGTACAAACTGTGCTGAATGTTAACATGATTTTTATCAAACTAGTGAGCAGTGCCCCATGAAAGGGAAGGTTAGGAGGGATGGGAAGGCATGTTCTTCCTGTTAGCAGCTGGAAGGACTAGGAAGCTGTAATTCCTGCATTCAGGTAGGAACATGGGAATGGCTGAAAGTGGCAACTTCACAGAAAGTTTTATTAGCTACGACAAAAAAAAACAACCAACAGTTGTGTTAGCAATCAAAAAACTGTTAACACAAGGATTGAGGGGAAAAAATGACAAGAGTACTGGAATCTGTTTTTTATTGTCCAAGTATTTCTACTCATCAGATCATAGACTAATGGCTCCATGGAGGCATATAACCTTTCTGTGTCTGAACTGGTACTTCCACACAGTTGTTTGCTGAGTTTTGTGAATTTACACACTCATATCAACAACAGTTTCGGAAACTCTTGTACACTGTGAGCAGAGCCACTCAACCTTTTCTCAATTATATACTCAAATTCCTAGAGCCTACTCAAAAACAAATAGTTAAGAAAAAAAGAAGTAGCTCTATTTTTGTTTTATTTGGGCTTTATCTTTCCCTACATCTTCTTCCCTTAACCTGGGAAACTAAACTGACTTCATGATTGATTGATTTCATGATTTTCTGATGCTTAAAACATCCACAAATGTATTTTCCTTAAGGAACTGAACAAACAACACGTCACTGCAAAGAGAATTATCTTTGTGAAGCCATAACATCTCAACAGCTGATTGTTGTTTGAATTTGTAGCTAAACTCTCAGAATGAAAATACTGATACTTACAGGTGTGCAGGCATTCTGTAATGGTTGTAGCATCAATAAAGTAACCTTTGCAGATGGAACACAGGATGTAAGGGGTCAACTCTGCGAGGTTTATCATACGCTACAAACAAAGACAGTTTGTAAGAGTTTCAATACACACGCTAAGCCATGACATTTCCACGGCCTTAAATCAGGCAAAAAATCCTGATCCTCCTAAGACATCAATCAATCCTCATACACAGATCAAGTCCAACCTTTACCCAGGGTCTGCCAAGTCCACCACTAAACCATGTCACTAAGAGCCCCGTCTACTTTTTCTGAAGTTTTTAAAAGTGTTTTTTAACACTTCCAGGGACAGCGATTCCACCACTGCTCTGGGCAGTCTGTTCCAATGCCTGACCACCGTTTTGGTGAAGAAATTTAGCCTAATATCCAACCTAAACCTCCCTTGGCATAGCTTGAAGCCATAATCTCTTGTCCTATCACATGCTTCTTGGGAGAAGAGACCGACCCCCACCTCACTGTAATCTCCTTTCAGGTAGTTGTAGAGCAATAAGGTCCACCCTGAGTCTTCTCCGGACTAAACACCCCCAGTTCCTTCAGCCACTCCGCATAAGACTTGTGCTCGGATCCTTTACCAGCCTCACCGCCCTTCTTTGAACATTCCCTCTACCACCCCGCCAAACTATGCCAAGAGTTTGCAAAGGCTTTATTTACATAAGACAGATAAAATTAACTCAGATAATAATAAAAAGCCTATCACCACATTGATTACATTGCCTAGGTCCAGATTCGCACCTACAACTTTCTAAAACATCTAAGCTGACATCCACTGCTTAGAGGGCCTGGTTGGCAACCGCGGGCTGCTGCAGACGCGGGGCCTCCCTGAAGACACAGCGCTTCACACCCAGCAGCATTCCCACCGCAGGGAGGGCTGCCCCCCCGACTGCCTCGTGTCCTCCTCACGCTCACACTGCCGCCCTCACCTCAGGGCCGTGCCCTGCCCCGCTCCGCTCGTAGCCGCCCCGGCCCCCCCCAGGCCCCGGCCGCGCCGCTATTGTGGCACATTGTAGCACACAAACCCTCCTCCCCCCACCCCGAGCCGCACGCTCCCACCGGCGGAGCGGGGCGGGGCACTCCGGGAGCGGGGCCTGGCGCGCGATACAGCCGTTGCGCGGGTGGCGGCCGGTGCGTCGCCGCGTCCCCGTCCCGTTTTTACCTCACGGTCGTAGTCCGAGTCGAGGTCCCCGTCATCAGTCCCGAACCGAGTCCCGGGGTCCCCCTCGAGCTCTTCTTCCTCTATCTCCTCTTCCTCGTCGTCTTCGTCGTCGTCCTCATCGCCGCTGGACTCCGAGCGGCTCCGCTCGAACTCGAAGGGGACGGGGCGCGCCCCCGAACAGCTGGGAGCCCCTTCCATCTCCTGATCCTCATCGGGCGGGCCCGCGCCTGCTCCATCCCCGCCCGACAGCCCCGAGACCACGGAGCCGACGTCCACCTCCATGTCCACGGCTCGGGGTGGGGGGTGAGGGGCGGGGACCGGGGCAGACGCGGGACCGTCTGCTGACCGCCGGCGGGGGACAGCAGAGCGCAGCTCTCACCACAAGCCTCCTGCGGCGCGTGTGCGGCCCGGGGCACGCCGGGAACTATAGTTAGAGCAGGCACAGGACTCCTCCACTGCGCATGCGCAGAGGCTTATCGTTCTTACAGGTCGGCGCTTCCTTTTCTCAAGTCTTTTTGTTTTTGCACTCGACGCTCCTTCGGGTAATAATGAAGCGCAGACAAATGCTTAATTTATCACAAAAGTGCGTCAATCATGAGATACCAGTTCAATTCAAAACGAAGTTTTTATACTGTAACATCACAAATCTGTATTTACCAATGAAAGAAGAAGCAATATTATATACCTGGAAAACCAACTGACCCAGCCGTAACCAGTTTAACTCGGAGTAAGTCCAGTAAGGGCACACAGTCCAGAGGCCATCCTTTGTTCACTCTAAGGAGGGCACAGGTAACGGCCTACTAACGCCAAAACAGTCAATTTCTGAATGAGGTTTCCCGCATTTGTACACCACGAGCAGCACTGAGCTTCACAATACCCATACGCACAGTCACTATCCGAAGGAACGCTTACTTAGTGCTAAACATCTACAGCACAACAGCCGCCTCTCAAACACTCCTCCGCATTCGCGCCACCTCTGGTGCCCTAAAGCGCTCCTGGCAGGTCGCAAAATGAAGTCGACAGCGCCTAGGGAGGCAGCGGCATCAGTACTCATCCTTTGCCCTGACTGTCGCAAAAGCATCCGCGCCTGGCGGCGGCAGCCTCTTGCCGGCGAATGGAGGGCCATGCAAGATGGCGGCACTGCATGAGGAGCCGGCAGAGGTGACGGCGGTAAAGCCGGATCCTGATGCGGGGACGCCGCCACAGCCCCCCACTGCGCCTCCAGTTGCCGCCGCCGCCGTTCCCGTCGCTCCCCCGGCCGCGGCGGCGGAAGGAGAGGCGGCGGGGAGCGGTGGGGATGCGGCGCCCCCGAAGCCAGCCGCACCGGGCCCGGCCGCCTCCCCGGCGGCACTGGACCGACAGACGCTCGTGGCTGTGCTGCAGTTCCTGCGGCGTAGCAACCTCCGCGAGTCCGAGGAGATCCTGCGCCGCGAAGCGCGCCTACTCGGCGATGACCTCGCTTCCGCAGCCCTCAGCCCCACTGGCGCCGGGCTCCAGGGAATCCCGGGTGGCGATGCGGATTCCATCGGCGGCGAGGCGCTGCTCAGCCGGGTTAGCGCCGCTGCCGCGACAGGCGGCAATGTCGCCACTGTCGCGTCTTCCAGCCCGGCGGTAGCAGCGGTCGCCGCCGTGCCGCCAGGGAAAGGTGGGGCTCGTCACGACACTGTAGGGTCGCTGCTCCGAGTGGGGGGCCGCCCCCTGTGCCGGGACCTCCGGGGCTCGGAGTCTTTTGTGTCTCTCGCAGCCTTGGAGGCTGTCCGTGATGCTGGGGCACGAGGGTCAGTGTCAGGTCGTGCTTCCCTTCGGGTGGCCTTCACTTCGGTGGGAAGCGAGAGTGTCCCAGCTTTCTGGGGGGACCCCGGGTGTATCATTTCCCCGTACAACTCGGGAAGAGATCAGGGGCTCTTGTGGATGCCCCACTGAAGCAAGGGACCAAGGACTGGGTTATCTGTCGTATTTGCAAGGAGCACTTGCAAAGTGAGAGGTGCTTCTCCTTGTCTTTCTGCCCTATCTCGAAGGGGGTATCCCATCTTCAGCAGGCAGCTGAAGGTTTCCTATGTAGTTAGATGTGATGGTCTAAGATGTGGCTGCAGGGGTGAGAACAGAGACTTGCTGTACAGAATATGATTTGAAGAAAGTGCCGTAGAGTACTTGGAGAGGAGGCTTTAGACATTTCTGGATCGAGTCGATGGGTACTTGAGGTGTCCTTTGCATAGTTGGAGTCTTAACTATTTTAAATGAAGGTATGCTGTGTGGCACATTTACAGAATAGGATAATGAAATTTCAGAAACTTATGTCCAAATTCCAGTGAATGTATAGTATAAAGTCAGCTTGTTCCTACTATCACCTGATAAAGTTGTTTTTATGTAGAAGACAAAACAGTGAAAATGTTTAATGATTTCTATGGAGAACAGCTCTCAGAGCATTAGCAAATGATAAAAAGTCACTGTACTGTAATGGTTGTGTGCTTGGTGAATTATTCACTCAATTAACTTAATTTGCTTGTTTACTGGAAGCAAAATAGTTACAGCGGGTATATTTTACAGCCTTAGAAGGATCCCACTCCTCATTTGAGATTTTATAGCCTTTTTTGTGGTGTTAGTGTCTTCTTCCTTAACACTTATGATTTTAACTGGATAAGACACTATAATACCTTATAGGCAACTGTTGGCAAGGAAGGCACGAAGGCTAAAGGTGCCGGGAGATTTGGCTACTGGACTGTGCTACCATCCTCTCACTTGTATTGTTTAAACCTAGTGCTGAACAAGCACAAGACTTAGTGTCATGTTTTGCTCTGAGTGCCTCTGCTTACAAGTGGAGCTGTTAGCCACTGTATGCATGCTAGCTCTTTCAGGCTGTTTTACAAGCTCTTGTTTATGTTGATGCTTTTGCAGTTGGAGGAAGTGTTGTTGTGGAAGATCAGCCAGATGTGAGTGCAGTATTGTCTGCCTACAATCAACAGGGAGACCCGACTCTGTATGAGGAATACTACAGTGGGTTAAAACACTTCATTGAGTCTTCTCTGGACTGTCATCGAGCAGAATTGTCTCAGCTGTTTTATCCTCTCTTTGTGCACATGTACTTGGAACTGGTCTACAATCAACATGAGAGTGAAGCAAAGTCTTTTTTTGAAAGGTAATCTGAAGTAACGGTGCCATGGATTATAGTAACTGTTCTTAAATCCTTTTCCAGTCTTCTGTCTCAGAAAGATCATGCTTTTGAACTGTCCATGGTCGTGCTTTGAACCATCTTTATAGTGAACTGATGAGCTCTGTGCTGCAGAAGTATCAATGAAGAGATACTTCTTTAGGGAAAGAGTGTGGGATCATTTTTTAGCACCTGAAATTTTTACTGAGATGCCAAAGTAATGTACGCTATGCGTATTGCTAATGTCATAACATGTATATTGAAATTCTTCAAGTGAGATTAAAGGAATTGATTTGTGGCTAATCTACAATTTTCTGTGCTTTTACTGTGGTTCGCTTCTTTATCAGTTGAGAAGAAAATGAAATTTGTTTTCTGGATTCAGACCAATTCTGAAATATTTCAATCTGAATTGGTAACTTTGCCTCCCTCCAATATGGTCAGCAAAAATGGTGCTGTAAATAGTTAAAATGTTCCTTGCCACCAGTATTTTATAACATGTTTGAGTAAAAATGGGAAACTCTAGACATATGTTAGCTATTAGGTAATACAAGTGGAGAGTGAGAAAAACATACACTGTAAAATGTGCATATTCATATAATGAATCAGATACAAAAACATTCAAGTACTCTTGCATAATAAAAAATTACCTGTATTTTATGATGCTACAAATTAAGGTTTCATTTCTCTAAATAGATGTGTCAGTGTCACTGTTTACTTCAGGCGAGAACTCTTTGGACATATGAAATTGTAAGGTTCCATTTGTGTGTTTTCTTCATCTTGCTTTTTAACTGTTGAAGTGTGCTTACTGTATACAGTAAATCACTCGTTATCTTCCCCAGGATGCAATTTATTTTGGTAGAAAATAATCTCTTGTAGTCAGTAGCTTCCAAAAGGTCCTTACATGTTTCATGTTAAAGTAATCTAAGGAAGTGTGCACTTAGGAGATAATGTTTTTGAAATAAATCTTAAATTGTTTCAATAGATTTCATGGGGATCAGGAGTGCTATTACCAGGATGACCTGCGTGTGTTATCCAGTTTAACCAAAAAGGAACATATGAAAGGTAACGAGACTATGCTGGATTTCCGAACAAGCAAGTTTGTGCTGCGCATTTCCCGTGACTCTTACCAACTCTTGAAGAGGCATCTTCAGGAAAAGCAGAACAATCAGATCTGGAACATTGTTCAGGAGCATCTTTACATTGATATCTTTGATGGAATGCCTCGCAGTAAACAACAGATAGATGCTATGGTTGGAAGCTTGGCTGGGGAGGCAAAACGAGAGGCTAATAAAGCAAAGGTAGGAAGCAAAGATTGTTGCACTTTTATAATTGAACAATTCTCCCTAGTTTTTACCGTAGTACAGACTGATAACTGTCATTTGAGATCTTAAAACCAGCATGAACAGAAGGGAGGAAGAGAACTGTACAGATACTTGTTGGCAGTACCAACAAGATGTGTCACCTTAGAAGAAACTGTTAAACCCTTTTGAGAGACAATGTTGTATTCAGCCCACTGAACTAAACTTGAACAAACTCATAAATTACTCTGTGGTTTTAAAATGGATACCTGGCTATTTGGCTTCCTCTTGTACAACAGGTGTCAATTCTTACTACAGGGTATGTTTGTGTAGATCTTGAGAGCACAGTACTACAGTACTATATACATAAATTATGTAAACTGTAGGGATTATGCTGTAAGGAAGTGTGAAGAGATGGTGGGAGAATTTACAGTTACCCAGATCAGTCGCTGAGTAAAACAACAGAATGTGTACTACATTTGTTATGGACTAACCTGTAATGTACGCACTAATATTAAACATAGCACTTTTAAAGTGCTTGGACGATTACATTGAAAACTTTCCGTTAAAAAATAGTTCTCAGTAAGAAAAGCAATTACCGTTTTGTGTTGTGTTTTATTGGCTTCCAGGTTTTCTTTGGCTTATTGAAGGAACCAGAGTTTGATGTGCCTTTGGATGATGAAGATGAAGAAGGAGAAAATGAGGAGGGAAAGCCAAAGAAGAAAAAACCTAAAAAAGACAGTGTAGGGTCAAAAAGTAAAAAACAGGACCCTAATGCTCCTCCCCAAAACAGGTACCATGGGAATGATGTGTAGAGAAGTCCTGTTAAATCCAGTCATGTCGTGCCAAACCTACATCGCTGTTCACATGACATTTTTAGCATTTTGGCCATTTCAGCCCTACACAGCTTTAGCTGTAAGACTTCTAAGGGAGGTAATGGAAAGCTTAGCATATAACCCTCTGTCTTTACCCTTCAAGGCAATCTGAATTTCCCTTGATAATATTTTACTCTGTTATCCACTTATCTTTTCAGGTCATGCTCAGTTGTTTATCTCGTCCACTGTCTCTTTGAAAGTTTTAAAGCTAACGGCTCTTTCTCTGATCAGTTAATCTACGTGGTCTTTCATTTATTCTAATTCTTGTTTTGTATTTGAATATTGAGGTGTAAGGTTGCATGCAAGGGTTTTGTTTTCTGTGTTTCGCTTAATGATATGGAAGGTGCTTTTAGTTTGTAAAAATGTGTGTTTGCAGAATTCCTCTACCTGAACTGAAAGACTCTGACAAGCTAGATAAAGTCATGAACATGAAAGAAGCTGCACGGCGTGTGCGTCTTGGCCCAGAGTGTCTGCCCTCCATCTGTTTCTACACATTCCTTAATGCTTACCAGGTTGGTAAAAGAAGAGTTTGGGCAATTGGGAAAAGGGAATAAAAATTATAGATATTGCTATTAACAAAGAAAGAAGACTTGGCATCCTTGGCAAGGGTTGTTGAAGTATTTGGGGTAAGTGTTGTAAAGTTGATGTTCCAAAACTTTAACAATTCTCTTTAGAGACTCCTTAAAATATATAATTTCCATGTTCCTTGGTCTTGCTCTGATTTTACCTGCTTTTGTTTCTCCTGTGGGCCCTGAGTGTATCCTGCAGCATGCAGATGTTTTACATCAGAATGCTAGATAATAGCACTGTTTTGTCACTATTAGCTCTGCTTCATTCGTACAGTCCATATATGCTTCATTTGTACATGCTTCATTCGTTTTTTTTTTTAATGGCACAAGAATTTACATGTTTATGTTGATCCTAAAATAGTCCCCTTTTATTTTTGTAAATAAGTTAATTTTCTTACTAGTACTTAGGATTTTGTAATATTTGAAATTCACCATGAAAGATGCAAACAGTATAAAAGGATATTTTGTGTTTAGGGTCTGACTGCAGTGGATATTACAGATGACTCTAGCATGATTGTAGGAGGCTTTGCTGATTCTACTGTCAGAGTGTGGTCTGTGACACCAAAAAAGCTACGTAGCGTGAAAGCAGCAGCAGGTAAGACAGACCATAACACTGACTATGAGAACACATTACTTGTGACAGCTGTTTTTTGCATGAACAGAGAAAGATATCTATGTCAGGAGAGTTGTCTTCAGCAGTTAGATGCTTTGACTTTGAAGAAACTGTATGTGCACAGGTGTATTGGATCACGTCTTACATATTACCATTAGAAACATTTGTAAAGGAACGTGAAGTCTGGTTGTGTACACCTGGTGCGAGGTGGTTGGTGCATACAGTTTGGAACCAGCCATCTTGCTTCTGAACTGGATGATAACTACTGGGTGTAGTAGGGTTTAGGTGATCTAGGGGAGAGACTAGAGGTACTCTGGGGTAAATTATAAGAGAGAACTCTGAGAAGGATGGAGGAGAATGTCCCGTAGCTCAAAACCTACACAAATTCAGGCTGCTTTAATTCTGCTGTTTATGTAACAATATGTTGTGGTTGAAGCTAGATACCACACAGACATTTCTTAACCTTGATATTTACCTGAGATGTGGTCATGATGTTCAGGAAACAGTAGCCTCACAGACTAAAAGTTATTTTGTGTGTAGCGTGCAGCTGTCAAAACATGTCTGTAAAGAACGCTTGTGGCATATTAACTTCCTGGGAAAAGGCATGAAAAATTGGCATCTCTATAAAGAAGATGTTACTGTGTTTGGAGGCTGAACAATGTATGTATGAAAAATAACATGTCAGGATTAATTTATTTTAGCTCAGTTAAGGAAGAGTGATTATTATGTAGTGTTATTTTCACCTTTTACAATGGTAAAAGATCTTTCAAGTGCCATTGCATGTTTCAAACTCACTAGTTCCCATGTACTTTTAGAGAGAATATTTGTTTTCTGTTCATGGCATTTATCTTTGAACTTATGACAGTTACTATGATACATGAACTTTGTTATATTGCAGACCTTAGTCTCATCGACAAAGAATCAGATGATGTCTTGGAGAGGATCATGGATGAGAAAACAGCAAGTGAGTTGAAGATTTTATATGGTCACAGTGGACCTGTCTATGGCACCAGCTTCAGTCCTGATAGGTAAAAGAAGTTTACAAGCTAATTAATTTGCTTGAGTTTTAATTGTATGATACTGAATGCAAACATGTTCTTCATGTGGCTTTCTCCAGATAGTTAAAGCAATTCTTGTTTATGCAGCTTATAAGAAACTCCGAGTGTAAGTGTTCATTATACTCAGGTATTGGGCACTGTCAGCTATTGCTGAAATCAACTGGACCTGAGGATGCCAGCACCTTTTTTGAGGTTTAGGACTTTGATGGCAAAATAGACCATCTTTTTTGCGAACTGTTTAAGTTGGGCTTGAACTAACTGAATTGTAGAGAAGAACAACTACAGCAGTGATTTCACTTACAGTATTGCAAAACATAAAACCAGACTGAGTAGCATCATTGCACTTCTTCAAGTTTCTCATATTCTACTGAGACTTAATTTTCAAAATCTATTGAATGGTATCTTTAAAAGAATAGATTTAAAACTATTATGTCATTATGAATGTCTGGACAGCAGAAAGGAAGTTTTAAATGTCTAAAGTTTTGCCTTACAGCTGAGAAGTGAACTTTGTGTGGAACGTGAATATAGAGTCTGGAATTGGGAATGTGAGCATTATATGAATTTTCTTTCAGGGATTCCTGAAATTTTGTTTGGAGTGACATTAAAAGATTTTATTTTTTTTTCAGTAATATAGCATAGCAGTTTACTAGTCATTTTTTTCATATACCTGGCATTCCCGAGTATAGAACAGCTCTGTGTGCTGGGGTCTTATTTGTTTGCCTATTTGTGTGGGGTTTTTGGTTTTTTTTTGCCCATAACCATCACTATGTAATCAAAATTAGTCATCAACATCCACTTGTATCTCTTTTTTGCATAAGGACCTAGGACAGAATTCTGCTTGAATCAGTTATTGTTGCTTACCCCATCAAACTGCTGATTTATATGTGACATGCTAAACAGATGCTGCTTAGGGGACACAGACATCTCACAGCGTTCTTGCAAAGGTTATACAGTCTGTGTGCAAGTCTGATACATAATATGCTATACTTTCTCCTGTGACAGGAACTATCTCTTGTCCTGTTCTGAGGATGGCACTGTCAGATTGTGGAGTCTTCAAACATTCACATGTTTGGTGGGATATAAAGGACACAACTACCCAGTATGGGATACACAATTCTCTCCTTACGGTTATTACTTCGTGTCAGGGGGACATGACAGAGTGGCTCGGTAAGAAGCTGGATGGGTTTTTACTTGTCTGGGTTGGTTTGTGGTGGATTAACCCTGAAAGTGATTACTTGATATAATCTAGCCTGCCCTAATACTGGAAATACATTTTATTTCATGTCAGTTAAAATACTGAACAGATGTTTTAATGTAGGCTGTTTTTTCAACACACATCAGGTTATCTCACAACTAAAGAGATGGTGTTTCTCTTGTGTGACTCTGATTAGAAGTATTCTCTTCTGGTTTAACAACTTGACAGAGTATTCTTGATTTCTCCCTTTTGGAGAAGTGTGCTTTGGAAAAGCACACTTCTTTGGAAGTTTGAAAAGCACACTTTTCCAAAACAGGTCATGCTAATTCAATAAACTGAACAGTAAGAAAGCACTTCTTTTTATTCCTCAGTGGTTTGGGTTGGAAGGAACCTTTAAAGGTCTTTTAGTCCAACCTCCCTGCAATGGGCAGGGCCATCTTCAACTAGACCAGGCTGCTGAGAGCCCTGTCCAACCTGATGTTGAATGTTTTGAGGGTCATCTACCACTTCTCTGGGTGATTTGTTCCAGTGTTTCACCATTCTAATTGTAAAAATTTCCTCCTTATATCTATTCTAAATCTCTTTTAGTTTAAAACCATTACCTCTAGTCTTATTGCAACAGGCTCTGATAAAAGTTTGTCCCCATCAGTTTTATAAGCCTCCTTTAAGTACTGAAAGGCTGCTATGAGGTCTCCCCAGAGCCTTCTCTTCTCCAGGCTGAACAACCCCAACTCTCTTAGCCTGTCTTCACAGGAGAGATGTTCCATCCTTCTGATTTTTGTGGCTCTCCTCTGACCCGTTCTAAGAGGTGCAGATACTGAACTTCATCAGGGTTCTTACTAATAAAAGCTTTTCTTTTCAGTCTGTGGGCAACAGATCACTACCAGCCTTTACGAATATTTGCTGGTCATCTTGCTGACGTGACGTGTACCCGATTCCACCCAAACTCCAATTATGTTGCCACAGGCTCAGCAGACAGGACTATACGGCTCTGGGATGTTTTGAATGGGAATTGTGTCAGAATATTCACTGGACATAAGGTAAAGGGCGTTATCACTTGCAGTGTGAAAGTGGTTTCATTTCTGTGATGAGATTCTGAAGTGTTCAGAATGCCTATGGCTTGACTGACTGAATGTGGGTAGATTTAATTGGCTTGCTTGTTGTTCCCTCTCAAATGTCTGTTTTAGGGACCAATTCATTCACTGGCATTTTCTCCTAATGGACGATTCCTGGCTACTGGAGCAACAGATGGAAGAGTTCTGCTGTGGGATATTGGACACGGCTTGATGGTTGGAGAATTGAAAGGGCACACTGACACTGTCTATGCCCTCAGATTCAGTAGAGATGGAGAGATTTTAGCATCAGGTAAAATTCACTGGAAACAGTGAAGTTTGTTGTGTTCCATACATCTGAAGAAGAATGGCTGCTTAAATTGTGAAAGACAAAGTAGAATTACTTGCTTAGCAAAACCAGCAACTTAAAACTGCTGGTGCAAGGCAAGTTCTTCACTGCATTGTGAAATGTGGCCCCTGCAAAATTCTGCTGTCTTCCCTATATCAAACTGTTATTATGTGACTTAGAATCAAAGATCTGCTGAAATTGGCATCTAGCACACAGGAGAGTCCTGCTTTTTCAGTGCTAGGTTATCTAATCCAAACCCAAGCGTTTCAAGGGAGTAGTTCTTTGTGCTTTAACTGCACTCAGGTGAGATTACAGAAAAGCTGAAATCCTGGTAACTTTTATGTGCGTATTCAGAACGTTAGAGGCTTGTGAAAATCTGTTTCCTTGCAGGATGAGGGCATAAACCTACAGTTATGAGAAAACCTGCTTTTTGAGCTTTAATTTTTATTAACTCGCTCCCCACTAACTTTCTTGTATACCTTGTTTATTAATAGGCTTCAAACTAGTGCTCATTTTCATTTTTAGGGTCAATGGATAACACAGTTCGCCTGTGGGATGCTGTGAAGGCATTTGAAGATTTAGAAACCGATGACTTTACTACAGCTACTGGACATATAAACTTGCCTGAAAACTCACAGGACTTGTTACTAGGTACATACATGACCAAATCAACCCCGGTTGTACACCTCCATTTTACACGCAGAAACTTGCTGCTGGCTGCGGGAGCCTACAGTTCACAGTGAATCTGGAAGCTGCAAGACTGACTGTGCCAAGTCACTGCATTCATGACCTCAGGATGTGAGATAAGGAGGAATGTCTTGCACAGGTGAATTCCACTAGGAACAAACCTACGTAAACTAATGCAAACAGCATTTCTCAATTCTGCTATTTCATATTTATCCATACTTTGAAAAGCTGAAGATTGACAAGACATCGTGGCTGTAAAAGAAGGAATTGTTCATGGTGCTTTTGATAAATATATATATATATATACATGTATATGAATATGGCTGTCTCGTCTCGGAGATGATACTGAGCTCTGCTGAAACTTGGGGAAATTTAACAGCCTTATTATGTGTTCTCAAATGATTTTTTTAAAGCACTTAATTTATGGATAGCAGATGTTTATCTCAAACACAAGTGAAAACTTCAGTTTCAGGAAAGAAGAATGTAGTTTAATTTGCTATAGCCTGGGCTGGGCAACAGGTATGGTGAGAGTATCCTAGCAACAAACAGGGCATTGGAAGAGTAGGTCCTGCAGGCAGAATCCTGTGGGGGACTGCTGCAAAATGACGCCTATGGGGTTTGTGCATCCAAGTACTAAGTCCTGAGAAGATTTCAAACTCCTGTACTCTTTTGAGTTACCAGAAACACAGATTTTGTTATTCTGTTCTTAGAGGTAGCCAGTGCTGTGCGACAAGCACCCAGAAGTGCAATGTGAACTTAATTTACCTTCATACTTTATTGTCTGAAAAAGAAAGAGGAGGGGGGACATGACTGAGGCATAACTGAAATACCCGTTATTAAAAAAGTTGACTTAAACCCTTTTACATTGTATTGGATCTAAAAGAACTTTAATAATCTTTATCATTTCTGTGTAAGGTTTAATATACCAAAAGGCAAAACTTAGCCAAGAAGTCAAAGCATTGCAGAGTAAAAGGATTAATCAGACCGAAGTGTATTATCAGTTTGTTTTTTGAAAGGCCAGCTCATCTGTTGCAGTGACAATTTCCACCCACAAAACCTAACCCAGGAAGGCTTCCTGGGCAACCAGTAAAGCTCAGTCCTTTTTTTGCTAAGAAAGATTAAAACATCCAAGTCATTGGTAAGTATACTTCTTGTCTTTGAGCAAAACCCACCACCACCAGAAGACAGGCCCACAGTTTGCTGGGGTTATAGGCTTGTTTTGTTGTTGTTTTTGTATCTCTTACAACCTGTATAGAGGGAAACCCATTTTGTGTTCATTACTTTCCAGTAAGGGCTGCGCCACTTGAACAATCTGCTGGCTCTCTAATGAAAATAAAAACAAGACGTTTCCTAGGTAAAGTAAATGGAGAACTACCTCCCTTTTCATCCTTTCTCTGACTCCAAGTCTTGGAGTATTGTAATGTGTATTATACATTACACATCAAAGCAAAGGGTGGAAAATTCAATAGGAAGCTCACCTGGAAATGTTTTTTAAAGATGTTAAACCTAAATATTATGCTCTCTTTTTTTTGTGTGTAATGGTACCTCCACAAAATTTCCTAGCTCTCAATAGGACCAGTTGGACTAAAGTACAATTGTGGTGAATCAAGTTACCTAAAACAAAGCATGTAATTTTGACAGCTTAAAAACAACACTGCCATATTCTGCCTTTATATTTTGTACAGTTTTATACTTTTGATACTATAATAAATACTAAAACCACATAGTTCTTGTCTCTTATGTTACAAGAAAGTGTTCTCTTTTTGGGGGCAATGGAAGCAAGAGCAGTGCTTTTATCTGTGATCATTCTGCTAAGAGAAACAAAGTAATTCGGAAACAGCTGATGATAAGGTGTTTCAGGTAAATCACCTGAGGGTAGATGATAGGTTGTAGCTAATTTGATCTATTACATTGTTACAACAACCGATATTCAGCTGGAAGGTTGCATACAGCAAAGGCCATTTATTAAAACGAAACTCACAGGAGAGGAAGATTACTACATTTAATCAGAAAGCCCAGAATCTACAAATGGCTTAAAAATATACATAGAGTGAGAGAGCACAGAGACCTGTAATTTCTCTCTCCTTTTTATCAAGCAACCATGTCTATCTCTTCCTGCCCTCAGTTGGGAGTATAGTTGCATTCTTTAGCACCAGCAGTCCCAGTGTCAACCCTGCTGCTGGATCCCATCTGAAATCACATTTATACATCAGCACTGAGGGGACATGTAAGGCAGGTTCTGTGTTCTGAGCTACAGAAAGACACTGGAGAATGCAATAGACAGATTTTAGTGCTGGGGAGGGAGGGGACTGCATATATTTAACTGTGGTAGGCGCACCCCATTTATTAAGAGTCTATGTCTATGAAAAAACTGAACTACTTTGGTCACTGTTTACGAACATGCAGGGTTATGAGAGCTTAACATCCACAAAGCAAGCCATTTTTTTTCTGGCAGTTATTTCTGAAAGGCAAGTAAATCAAATACCATAATTTATCAGTCTAACGTGGGAGGTTTTGCATGATGACCCAACAGGACCTATGCAAAATATGGACAACTGAGGCAGAAGCTGTCATCTGCATTCCATTATTAATTGTGAAGAAGTCATGATTTCCATGTAAGCTACTAGCCTGGAATACAAAAAAAAAAAAGGAGCAACCAAGTAAATGCAAACCATGTGAGCCCACCATTACCCACTGAGACATGGAAGCGTGGAGATGCTTTCACCAGCTCTAAGCTCTATGGCAGCATTACGGTCTTTCCTAGGCTACTTCCAGGTGCTCAGAACACTTTAGGATGTATTGTAACAACAGAAGACTTCAGTTAAGATTGTAATGACAAGGATCAGTTACTTCATCTCTGCTACAAATAGCCATTTTTTGACAGAGGAAAAACAAGAAGTGCACATTTGTTCTTTTTTTTCACCATTTCATATTTCAAATAAAACAAGTAATCATTTCAATTTTATTAGCCACAACAGGTCATCAGCTTGCATTACACTGATAGAGATTAGAGATTCAGACATGCCAGCAACCTGCCAAGAGAAGAGAGATCAAACATAGCAAGTCTTGCACAGTGGTACTAGTAACTGAGCACTCCCTCTCCCCAAGCCCAAACAATTTTAGTTACAAGCAGGCAAATTCCAGCATCCACAGGAACAACTGAGGTCCCTTTATAACACACAATGATGCTCAAGCTTATTGTTTCCTACCCCTTTTTGCAGACTATGAGGACAGACCATAGGTTTTTTCAAAATGCCGTTTCAGTGGAAATTTTGTATTTGAAAGCAACTCCACAATTTTGTAACACTTGGTTGTTGCTATACAAGAGCAATCACTTCTATACAGGCCTTGCACAGTCAGGTGTGCAATATACATAGCTCCATTGTATGGTGTTCCTCTAGTCCGTTCAAAAGGTTTTAACAGACTGTACTAACCTCTGCTTGGAATTCTCTAATACAACTAACTCGTATTTTATTATTTCAATAACATACAAAGCAACAGTTATTCCTATTTTACAGCAAAAGGTCAGACCAGAGGCACACAATAGTTGTAGGCAAAGACTGATATGCCTAGCTGCAACACCCTTCCATTCCTCCTTCCTTGCTCACCCTTCATCCCTGCGTGCTGTCTGTAGTCCTATTCACCATGTCAAAACAAAAGGAATACTGGTACCCTATATTGACTACATCCCTCTTTAACAACCTACGTAACGCAGAACGCCCCAAATAAGCTGATGCTATGGTTTAGTTGAGGTTTAAAATTATAAATACAAAGTTCACATGCCTGTGTTTCTCTCTCTAATCACATTGTATTGTTAGCAACATGTCCCTTTGTCACTGTTTCTTCTTGGTCTTGTGCTGAAACATTTTGGTCCTGGAACACACTTACCATTTACTTATCTGCCACAGCAGGAGTTTTGTTTTTGGGTCTAAGCTTGAAATACAAGATGATCAGTGCAATGCCCGTGTATGTTGCTATTACATACTGGAAAAGATAAAAGTTTAGTTTAGTTTCAGTCTAATATCCAGAAAACACCATCATCCTAGACTACAGCAGTTAATATGCGTAATACATACATTCCTCCTGCCCGTGATGGTGTAGGAATTGAAGTACTTCGCAAATCCAGTGAACTGGTGTTGAGATCCTGAGTCATGGCCAGCCATGGTTGCTTGTCCTAACCAACAATACAGGACAGTTAATGAACTGAAAGTCAGTTGGACATGATCAACAGAAAAATCAAACTAACCTTGACACTGAATTTAGGAATGCTACTGTCAGCTATTAAATCTGCTCTCAGGACGTTCAACAGACAGTGAATACACATATGGAGCAGGCACCTTCAGAGCACTATATCTTAAGGTACAAAACAGGTTACACAAGAGCTGATAAGTAAATTAGGGATTCTGAAGGGAAGAACAGTTATGATTTTCAGAGTTCATTCAAATGGGTTTAAACATAAAAAAACAATAAACATCAGGATGATGACTCTAAAAGGGAAAAATCCTCAGAACACTTATGAAGAAAAGTTCTGCCAGTCCTGCCAACACAACCATTCAACACAGGCAAATTTCTACCAATTAATTGTTCATGAATTCGCAGTACCCAGTTAAGATGAATCTTCACTGGTTCAGGTAAGAAACAGCTCAATGACATACTCAAAAACTCAGTGACAACATTCAGAGTAGACCGCTACTCTGTTTGGTTATTCAAAATGATGCTTTACAACACCCTTACCATATTAAAGTGCAAGTGTTGGTAATAAGAATTGCCCTGCTCTCAGCTGTACGCCTCTATTGCATCTTACTTTCTAACCCTAGTGTTCACAGATCTAGATATTTTTCAACTAGATCAGCAAGTTATTAGAGCCAGCCTCAGAAGTGCTTTCACAGGACAACAAAAACACTAAGTACATGAGGGCACACTTATATTTTGTCTGTGTCTGGACTAAAGTTTCACATGTAAGATGTTCAGTAACATAAAAGCATGGTGTGGCTACAGTAGTGTGTTTCCAGATTCACTAAATGGTTCAGGTTGGCACCGCAGAGATTGCACAGTCCAACCCCAACCTGCCCATATCAGGGGAACACATCCAGTCAGGTCTTTAATACCTTCACAGATGGAGACTTCACAACTCCCCAGGGAAACAGTTCTTATAGTGTTGATCAAACTTAGAATAAAAGTGATTTTAATGTTTAAAGATACATTTTTCTTACGTTTAAGAGGGATTTATTTATGTTTAGGACAAACATATTTGTTTTGTAACTCACCCCCAAACAAGCACACATATCATACGGTTACCAAACAAACCAGACAGATGCTCTAGCCACTGGCATTGCAGAAGAAGAGGGACACAAGACATTGCTACATCAGGTATTATGCTAATTAATATAGCTCTTAAGCAAACACAATCCAGTAATTTATCTCTGGTGCATAATCAGGTAAGCACACCTGCAAGTAGACTAACAGCTAAAAATCGCAATGAAACAAACTCCGTTAAGTATTAGCCACACATGACTTGGAAAGTCAAGGTCATATTTTCTTATGCCTGACCGACAAAAAACCCCGGAGTCACTGCGTCTTTCCGAGGCCGGCTCAGAGCCCAAACACCACAATACAGCTTTTCTTTATCAGAAGAGCCCGGTGCCCTTGCCGTTCCCGGGCCGCTTCCCCTTGCTGCCCTGACACCGGGCGCCGCCGGCTGCCGCGCTCTCTCCAGCCCCGCACAGGAGCCAGACCCATCTCGCTGGCTCAGACAGCCGCGACCCCGGCGCTCCCTCTCCTCAGCTCCCTCAGGCCAGGGGAAGGGACGCAGAGGCTGAAGGTCGCGGAGGCCCCGGGGTACAGCCGCAGCTCGGAGCCACAGAGAGCCACCCTCCCGCCCGGCGCCACAGCCCTATAGAAGGGGTACACAGGCAGGGGTCTGGGGGGGTCAGGCTCGCTCCCCGCTATACCTCAGCTGCTGCCGCTGTCCCACCGCTGCCGCCACACTCTGCCCTTCGCCAGGGCCCTCCCACAAAATGGCGGCCCCAGAGCGCCGCGCGCAGCCACCGCGAGCCGCGCTGATTGGCTGCCCTCTCTCCAGTGAGAGGGTTGTCTCCGCCCCCTCCTCGTGGTTGGCTGAGGAGTGGTTCGCTGCTTCCGTCTGACCTTTGCCTCCTGCCCTGGGTACCGCTTCCGGCCGCTGGCTGTGCTCCCGCGTGTGGGTCTCAGTCGCGGTCTCCCGGCGGCGAGCGAGGCGCTGCGGGGACAGAGCGGCGGCGGCGGCCGGGGAGGTGAGGTCCCTGCGGGCAGAGCTCCAGCCCTGCCCGCTCCCACTGCGCGGCGTGGCTCGGGTACTGGCGGTGGAAGGGGTCTCTGTGGCTTAGCGAGCCCTCTGCTGAAGCGTGCTTCCGTGAGCTTCAATGTTACATGTGCTTTCTCGTTTAAGTGAGTTCTCTGTGCCTAGCAGACTGCTTTTAAATATGACAGCGTCCTGTTTCAGTGCAGGTTTCTTTAGAGGTGCTGTTGACTAAAGTAATGCATAGCATGTGGATCGTGGCCTAGTGAATGAGGTGTTGTTTATTCATGGAAGTGTAGTAAGGTTAAATGTATCTATTTTAGTGTCATGGTGGACTAGGCATTTCAGAGGTAAAGGCTGGACTTCATGATCTTAAAGGTCTTTTCCAATCTAGTCAATTCTATGATTCTGTTATATGTATGTAATAGAGCTATTCTATAGCTCTCTATAGAATATATGCTATAGAATAGATTTTCATATATGTATATAGAACTATATATGTATATATCTTATAGCTTACCCTTTACAGGTGATATCCAAAAAGTGAAACTGCATACCATGCTTGCTTAGTTTCATTCATAACTTTCTTCTTGGTGACTGAAGCTGGTAATTTTGGCTTGTCCACTGTTCAGGAAAATTATGATTCAAGCAGTTTAATGAATATCTGTGTGGTGCATCTGTATGCTTTAAAAAAATAATACTTTAGTCTTTATTACCCTGTAGAATTGGGTAATAGTAAAAAGTGTTAGGGATGTATATATTTAGATGGCCCACTGCAATAATTAGTGTAATCAAATGTTAAATACATTCAGGGATTATGTTCTGTCAATGACCAACTGTAATCTGAATTCTCTCTTAGTCTGGGGGTAGTTCACTCATGTATCTCTTCAGTGTTTATGAGGAACAAGCCTAACAACTGCACGTCAAATTTCTGTTTTATCATTTGTCTTACAGAAGTGCAAGCATGGCATCCATGGAAGAAAACTTTCCTCGAGGGGGCATCCAGAAAAAACCCACAGAGGGAAAAACACCCAACACAAAGTTCGAGCGGGACAATTTGTTTGATGTACGTTATTTGTGTGTTCTCGATTAACTCTTCTCAGGGCTCTTCCAGTCTCAGAATATGACCTGCAATCCTTCCTATCCCTCACTTCTATAACAGACTATAGGAAGGATTTGCAAGAAGAGATAATGTCTGACATCTACCTTTCTCCTGATCGCTTAAAGATCCCCAATGTCTGATGCATATTAAATGTGGTAACAGAAAAAGTTAGATCAAAATTACTGAACAGGCTTTATCTTCTAAACTATACGCAAGCACTTTTTCCCCTGAGGTGCTTGTGTAGTGAGGCTGGTGTTAGTGGGTATAGACTAAGTTTAGTCTTTCTGCTTCTGTTAGTCGTGTGGTGCAGATCTTGTGCCACTCTCTTCCATTCCCAAGATTCACAGTTTCATAAATGATAAGCTTCAGCCCAAGGGAGATATTTTGGAAGACTTACATGTAGGCCTATAGCAGTTACCAGGGTGGTTCTCTTTTTCTCTCCAATCCTAGTATGTGCTTCTACTTTTATTCCTGGCAGTGGAGTTCTGCCTTAGTGCAAAGTTCATCTCTTTATCCACTTTTATATTTTACACTCTCTGCTTATAATCTGCTTTAGGTTCACCATGAAGAAAAGCCCCAGAAAAGAAAAAGGAGCCAAAAGGATCAAGGAAAGCAAAAAAAGTTCAAGGCAGACAACATAGCTGCTGCTAAAGAAAGTTTTGTGACTATTGAGCCATTGATGATTGAGGTTTGTGGTAAAATGTTTTTGTATGCATCTCTCTTCTGGGCTATGTAAAAATGGCATGTTCTTACTTACTGAGGTAAGAACAGAAATATCTTTACCATCCTGATAACCACATTATGCTATTCTTCCTGCTTTCCCAGGCACTCTGTGAGGGGATGCTGCTCCTTGGCTGTATAAAAGAGGTCAGTGACTACGAGCTAGTCGTAAGTTTGCCCAATGGACTTTCAGGATTTGTACCGGTCACACAGATCAGTGATGCCTACAACAAATTGCTGAGCCAGCAGGTGGCCCAAGGAGAACTTCTGGAGGTAAGATCTTGAACTGTGTCTGTGACTGTGCCTGGGAACTGGCTTTTCCAAGCAAATTTGCAATTACCTGATGGTGCTGTTTGCTAGAAGGACAGTAATTGTTCAGTGGAGTGGCAAGCAATTGTAGTGTTCATCAGTTGTTGGAGTTTATGTCTCTCTTTTTACTTTTCATAATAACAACTTATCTTGATAATACATGTATTATTATTTTATAGTATCATGATAACAAGATATTTTAACTGTTAAAGTGTTGTTATCTCAGCCCATGGGTTTTATCTGTTTCTGATTTTCCTCCCTGTCCCACCGGCTGGGTGGTGGGGTGGGGAATTGAGTGATGGGCTGCATGGTACTTAGTTGCTGGTTGGGGTTAAATCACAACACCTTTTTATGTTATGTAAAATAATAACTTTTTTATGTGTTTCTCTTTATCATCTTTCTGGGCAGGACTTGAATTCGCTCGTGGACTTGTATTCTCCAGGGACACTGGTCAGGTGTATTGTGACCACTGTTGAGAAGAGTGCTGATGGACGTCGGAGTATCAAATTATCGATTGACCCCAAGAAGGTCAATAAGGGTCTGAATGCTTCCGCACTAGCACCAGGCATGGTACGTGCTCTGGGTCTGTCACAGCCTTTCTAGGTTTAGGGGGCGCCTCTTGCATAATGCATGGGGGAACATTTCAATTTGTCCTTGCATGAGATCAGAGCAGAATATGGAGCTCCTCCCGCCATAGGAGACCTGGGAGGAGAGAATAGTGCTGGGTCTTGGCACCAGGTGTCTCTCATGAAACACGTTTGCCTGATTCTATTTTGATATGGACAAGTTATTT